AATATAGATAAATGTTGTAAAAACAATTCTCTCATTTAGATAAGAGATTTTTTAAAAAAAATCAATCACTCATGTCAAAATGGTACAAATAATTAACAAATCATTTGCATACGAATATGCAAATGAGTCAAAATTATGGCAAACCTCAAAACAAGAGTGGCCTAGTTTACTATGTTAATGTATGAATAAAAGTCAATAATTACAGTAAATACAGGCCATATTATTTCAATCTCTTCACAGTATCTTAAACAGGAAGTTAATATTTTAAAATATCTGAAAAGTAATTAAGTGCATGTATATCATAGTTTGTGTACATATAAATTAGAATATTCCATATATTATGAATGAACTACAGTTGCTAAAGCACCTTAAAATGAAACGGAATTTGAAATTCAGGGAAAAACTAAGTATCAATACACATACTAAGTAGTGGGTTATTTTGTTAGGTGTAAAACTTCCTTATTTTCAATTAATGAAAGACAATATAGCCCTTATTTTGACTTTGAGACTAGATTTCATTAGTAAACAAATTATGGAAAAGTTAATAATGAAATATCTTCACTAAACCATGCCTAACACTTTGACTAACAAGATATAAACTAAAAAAATGTTCATATCATAAAATAGTTATATAATTTTTAAAAAATATGAAATTGTGGTGAAAATATATTGAAGGAAGAATATCTCATTTTTATCTATTTTTAGAAAAATATTATATGCTCTATGAAAGGTGCAGCACACGTCTGTGTATTAATATTTGCATGACTGTAAAGAAAACTCTTTTCATCTTCCTAGACTTTGTATGCAGCAAACGACAATAAACTTTAACAGAAAACACATATTGCCACATTTAAATTTTTATCACTGCATATTATCAACTCAATGCATTCATTGCATTGATGTGTATTCATTACAGTCCACTGTTTTAAGGAGCTACTCTGTAGCACAGGAAAGTATTCTTTCATAAAACAGGAAACATTAATGAAACTGTATTGAAAAACACTTTCTGCTTTTATATATTTAGCATTGTCGAACCTTTGGTATTTCATTTAACAGCTTCTAATAAAATGTGTTTAACAATAAGAAGGTATCATAAATACTAAGTAGAGAACTAACAATATTCAATACATATTGTTAATTATAATACAGTGTAATGATTTACATGTTGTTGTTGCTTTATTTTTAAATCTGAAGTGTCAGAACATATTTCCCATTCTGCATCATGGCAATCTACATACATGGGTGGATACTAAATTTGTGATTTGGGGCTGGATAACTTCATTCAGGCAGGGAGTCTGGGGGCTGCCTGAAGGCCCCCAGAAGTTAAAGGCCAAAACCCTGGTGGGGGCCCAGTGAGCAAAGCCCTTGGACATTCCTGGGTTTTGGTGTATTCTACGAGTAAAACCGGGCATTAAAAAGTGGCATTGAGTAGTTGTACACTATGATATTTCATTCTTTAAAAGATGAAAAAAAAAAATGAACAAAAAAGGCATTTTTTACATCTACAAGAAGACACAAAAACCTTGATTTTTTAGAAAATTGACCAATACTTGGTCATTAAAGAAAATTTATTACCATTTATTAATTGACCCTTAATTATAAAATCAAATTATGGCATTATTAATAGCGAGCGCAGCGAGGCGGCGCAAAGCGCCGCTCGCGTAGCGAGCTCAATAGACTAACGTGTACGAACGGAGGAAATTCGGGTTGAAATCTGCACATTGTTCCAAGAAATTTTTGTCTCACCGCGTGAAAAAATTCTAAACTCCCAGTAATCCTTTGCGGTGCATAGCAACAAGTTGGCTAAAATATAGCAACAACTTACTTGAAAAAAAAAAAAATACAAACAACGATTGATTGCAGTTTCCATGCCATAAAACTATCTTTTGCGTCCTGAGTCAACAGGACTTTTTATCTGACGTCATACTTTCGTCACTTTAACGGTTCGGGTATTTCCGATTTTGTGTCAAACATGTTTGGGAAGTGATTTCTTTTTATTGTTTAGTTTTCTTTCTTTTTTCTTGAATGATAGACAGTTCATGTGTAGGTTTATGATAGTACATAACTGCGCTCGCCCCATGTCATGTCAAACATTGATAATTTAGGGTGGAGGGAGGCATGTGCCCCCACCCCTTTAATCTGCCAGTGATATATCTACAAATATATATGTCTATTCTCAGTATTCTGTTTATATGTCTCTCAGTCTGACTCAGCACAATTTTCAGTTATATTTAAAAAAAAATGTCTAAAAAAATATCATGAAAAAATCCTCTAAAAACTTTATAGTTACTACAAATTATGTAACGTTAAAAATTTACATATCATGGCAAGATATTTTGTGAAGATAAAGTAAAAAATAAATAGCAAACACTGACAAGTGAAATATTCTTGAATGTGTACGTGCATGCCTCTGTAGCCAGAGGGCTGTACTCTGTTTATAAAATGTTTACCTGAAGTTGATTGAAGTTTATATCATATTACATTGAGAAAATTCGGGATATCTACTTAGTTTATATTTCATTTGTCATTGAAAGTATTTTTTGTAAGCAAACTGTTACTTTCATGTGAACTCTTAAACGAGCACATCTGGATAATATTATCTGGTAACATCTCTGGCTTTGCCGTAGCTTCTCTTATCTAAATACAATACATCTTTCAGGGATGGAGAATAAAATCAACGGTCAAAACTTGTAAATTCTACTAATTACCTGATTCATTCATTGTTGGTGTAATGAGGTGGAGAAATTCCAACATTCTAAATACTACTGAAGATGAAAAAAGTCTAATAAATATAAGCAATCCTTTTCCATCCAAAATCAACAGGAAGCCAGCAAAAGATTTAACTTCCGGTTTAGGTTAATGGCGTGTATATTAACCGCAAAATCATGTAAATTCCTCACTTTTAATAAAATTGTAAAAATAACCTTATGAATTATTAAGGTATGTTTAAATTATGCATTTTAATAGATTCTTTTTAACACTAAAATTTCCCTGGTTTACCCCCCCCCCCACAAGATGATATTACCATCTGCTAAAGAAACACTACTTTAATTTAGCAATGAAAACAAATACTAATGAACTCCAAATATGACAAAGTAAAGCGCACGACACCGATGCCCTCCTTACGACAGCTTTTCTCAAATGCAATTTTAATGCCCCCCCCCCCCCCCCCCCCCCGAGAAACAGGACTTGTCTCAATGAAATACAAGGTTAGCTTTTTTAAAAAAGCTGAGTGTCAGCCGCTGGAATACAGAAAGTTTCTTTCTTGTTTTGTAATGGTTTATGATTTGATCTATCCATCATGTTGTGTTCCTTAAATGTAATAAATGCCAAGAAAAGTTAAATTATTGTAATCATTTTCTTATTTGTAACATAATGCCACATACATAATAAATAATAAAGCATAGAATATTTTTTTTAAAATCGTGACCATTACAATGATCTATAAATTCTCTTTCAGAGAAAACATGTTATACCGGTAAATGAACAAAAGCCACCATTAAGATCACGTTAAATTCTATAAAAATGATATGCAGATTATGATGAATAAATGGAATTGTGTTAGATCGTTTTTAAATATTATTAAATAACAGTTTTCATTTGTTTGCATTTCGAGGCAATGCCCATCTATAATTAATTTAATTTCTAAGTTTGAGCATCCATTTTAGTGTTATTAGGAAAGAAAAGAATTGCTTCCAAAAAAGTAATGAACGCCACAGAAAATAATTTTAAATGGAAATTCAAAATATGTTTATACATGCAGTACGTACATATATACATGTACACAAAATGTTTTTGATGATGTCTACCATCATAGCAAAACTATAGATTAAAATACTGGAATCCATTCCCCCTCTCTCCTTTGAAAACTATAAATCAGCATAGTTCTCTCAGCTATCGCATTTCCACTCCAAATATGGGCGCGGTTCACGTGCACAAGCGGCACTTACACGTCTATCATCATGTAAATTATAAGAATTTTCTGTCTTACAGTGGTCTTCTAGCAGATGTTTTCATAACTTCCATCATTAAAGTGAAGAGAAATTGATCTTTTTTTCTCACTATTTTGGGACATTTGTGGCAAGTGGATTGTTGTGTGAATTCCGAACCGTACATGTCTTATGCAAGGTATTGAATACTGATCGAGGGAGTCTTGCATCAGGCATCCAGAGGAATACACAATTTTAATCTTGGCTTGCAATGGCGATTGAGGGAATAAATGTACTTATCATCTATTAGAAGCAAAGAAATATTTTCACAGTATCATTTAAAAACTGACAAATATCCCCCCCCCCCCGAGGTCGTGTGTGCGTGTAGAAGCACGCCCTCAGGAAAAAATTGTGCAAATCTTTTTCCAGAATTGATAAAATATGCAGTTTCATCTGACTAAATATGAATCTTTATTCGGTTGAGTCATGGCCAAAATAAAATATTTTAAACTTTTTGTTGGTAAAACTCAAAAGTCAAGGCCAAAACGTCAACATCAATGATACCCAGGGGAGGGTCTTGTTTTTAAAAAAAACTTTGGTCTACTGGGTATGAATTTAAATTAATAACAGTTTTTGCAAAAACCTGCGACATCATAGGAGGATGAAGATACCTTAAAGTCAATCATAGGCAAGACTTTAAGTAAAATTGTTGGTATGCAGAGGAAGAACTTTTCACAAGGCGTATACATGTACGTATTACTATCTGTTTAAAAGTTTTCATGGTTGAAATGTCCAAGATTAAAGTTTTTTAAAATAAAGTGGTTCAAACTCCCCAGGTAGCACAACAACGTTATTAAAACGTTATCAAAATGTTATAAAAACATTTTCTAAAACGTTATTACAACGTTATTTTGTATGGTTTTTTAAACGTTATCATAACGTTTTTCAAAAACATTGTCCTGCAATGTTTGGAAAACATTTTTGAAAACGTTTTCAAAACATTTTTAAAATCGTTTTCAGAACATTTCTAACATGTTTTAAAGGATAAAAAAAAATTTACAACAAAAAAAGTATTGTACTTCCTATGGTTTTAATTGGTTTAAACTCTTTCACAAATATAATCCATGAACTCTTTTTTACATCCACACAGTCAATAACAGTCTTCTTAACAGGGAAGATTTGTCACAATTGAAATAAGAAAAAAAAATCACAATATCCTTCTTCCTTTGGAAATCATCTGTTTGGCACTTGGACTTCTTTGTTTTCTTCTGAAAAACAAAGATATAGAGAATAATTTTAGAAGATTTAAAAACTATACATAGTCATAAATCCGATAAATACAAGAAAAGTGTGTATGTTTTTGGCAACAGTTCTATAAAATATATACTAAATAAACATGATAAATCTATCTCCGTTATGCATTCGTGTCAGGAAATTTCAAACATACCTTTAAAATTAATACCCCGGTAAATCCCTCAAAGATGGTGTGTAGCAAACTTCATTCTGTCCAATTCCTCTCATAACGTGTAATATTTAGTCTTTGCAAACAGCCGCTGTAAAATGAAAAATGATATTCAGTTTGAGAATTATAAATTGAAAAATATATACATGACACTGTGTATAAATACAAATCATTTTACATTTCCAAAGAAGTATTAAACCAACTCGTTAAGCCCCCCCCCCACCACACACACACAAACACGCAAACTCAATCTACTCGATCTATTTAAAATCATGTGTTGAAGTTTTCAATTTGAAAATCTATCTCTAAGCCCGGGGTGATTATACTAAAGTACACATTAATAAAGAAAATTCACACTAGACACAAGACATAATACATATGTAAAATAAATGCACAATCATGATAAACTTCAATGATCAGTTTACTTCAAAAACAACCAATTAACCGCCCTCAAATATCCAAGATATATACAATCATTTACCATTGTTTACAAGGAATGATTCAGGCTTATACAAACACATGCAAATACATGTATACACGATGAATACTATTTTAAATTCAACATACCATACGGTGATGTAAAATATTCCCTAAACCCTATTCTTTGTCTCTCAAGAATGCTGCCCGGTTTTTCAAAATCTTGGTAAGTTGACCTATATAGATCACGTGGAAATAGTTTGCAGCAAGGAGCGGTTTCATCAGCGCTGACCACGGCATCCCGCTGTGTCAATCAATTAACTTTTGATAAACGCGTTATCCAGGAGGAAACAACGGGTACCTGTAAAGTGCGAAACGAAATAGAAACGAAACGAAACGAAACGAACTGAAACGAAACGAAATCTACCGAAACGAAACGAAACCTACAGAAACGAAACGAAATCACGACGAAACGAAACGAAACCTGCCGAAACGAAACGAAACAAAACTATCAAAATGTTTGGGTTTTTTTTTTAAATCAAGGTACATGTATATAATTATATATGTGTAACTGCATGTGGACTTTTTTTACTTCAAATAAAATCTCTATATATATTTCAAGCACTTGTTAATATAAAATTTTAAATTATTGATAAATTATGCTCCCTTCTCAGTCTAATGATGTATTTACATGTTTACCAGCTGCAAATATGCACGAGCGTACTATGCATGTATAATTTCAATATGTGCAGTGTTTTCTAATTTTTATATCTTACTCTTATTTTCAGTCCTTATTTATCTAGATACCATATATCTATCAAAATTGATGTTGTTACATGTAAAGGCTCGTTTATGTACGGGTCGAAATAAAGTCACTGTACTGTTGTATTGCGAATGTCTTAAAACATAGGATAAACCAGCGACTTAGAGTATTTAGTAATCCATTCCGAGGTGTCTGATTTTATTGTTCAGTTATACATGTAACTACAACCGGAATCTTGTACATCCTTTCCACGTACATACAGTCCTATTTTTATCGAGGTAATTTTCGAGGTAGAAGAAATGAGTGGTTTGCAATAAAGAGGCTCCATAACAGACGTCGAAAACAATTTAAATGACAAGAAAAAACTCTCTCAAAGCAAACGATGTCAATTTTAAGTAGGTAAATTAATCAGTAAGATATTAATAAAATATGACATAGGCGTTGGTGTTAGCCCCCCCCCCCCCCCCCAAGTTTTCTTTTTTTGCAAAGATATATATTATATAGGCATTAAGGGGACGACCATTTGATTCTGAGGGGGGGGGGGGGGGCTGGCAAATTTTTTTGAGACGGATTATTTATTTTCATGCCTGTCAAGGACAGATTATTTATTTTCAAGATTATCGAGGACAGATTATTTATTTTCTTCTTTGTCTTACGGTACCTTGATCGATTGATTCTAAAAGACTAATAATCATTAATATACCATAGGCGGATTCAGGATGGGGGTGGGCGTGTATAACTTCGTTCAGGCAAGAGGTCTGGGGCCGTCTTAAGGCCCCGGTGGGTCCTGGGCGAAGCACTGGTGGAGGACAAGGGAGGGAAATTCCCCAGAATCTCTTGGGTTTTCGGGTATTTTAAGAATAAAACCAGGACAATTATACGTGTAGTGGTATTGGTTATTATGTACCAAAGTATGACATTATTAATATTGGTCATGTCATACTTTGAATGAAGGGGGTCCAGGGGGTGAAGCCCCTTGAAGCTCGTGGGTTTTTGTGTATTTTAGGAGTAAAACCAGGCACAATTATGTAGGAATTAGTTAGTTATGTTCCAAAGTATGACATAATTAATACTAGTCATATCATACTTTGAATGAAGGGGGCCTAGGGGGCGAAGCCCCCTGAAGCTCTTGGGTTTTTGTGTATTTTAAGAGTAAAACTAGGCACAAAAATATTGGTATTGTACTAAAGTATGGCAATATTAATATTATTCATATCATACTTTGAAATTTTAGGGGAGGGGTCATACACATGTACGCCTTCCTTAAATCCGCCACTGTATACTTTGTATTAATTTATCGGGAAGTATACTTCTTTGACAAGAAAATTTATCTTTTGTGGAGCTTGTATTGAAAGTGATTCATCACATCTACTGAGTGCACATTGCCATGCTGATCAACTAACTACAAGTATCCAGTCTGGTAATCTGATTTTAAATACTATTTGGTTTTAAAATGCCGAGCGAAGCGAGCCAAAAAAATGCTGAATTGAAGGTTCTGAGGTTAATTACACGGAAATAAAAAGGTATTTTCACAATATTTAAATATCATAAGTCAAGGTCAGATTATTTATTTTCTTTGCAGAGGAGGACAGATTATTTATTTTCAACATTTTCAGGGACAGATTATTTATTTCCAAAATCTGCCACAGAATCAAATGGTCGTCCCCTAACCTTTTTGTTGGTTAACCCCCCCCCCCTTTTAATATCCTTCCGACGCGTACGCCTATGTATGAGCGAGCTTGAAGCGAAGCCTGTGGTGCTTGAACTATATAAATTTCATATGAGGTAAAAATAGACAATATCACCATTCTGAAAGTTTTGTTTCGTTTCGTTTCGGCAGGTTACGTTTTGATTTGGTGATTTGGCGGTAGTGGGAATTTCGTTTCGTTTCAGGTGTTCTATTTCGGTACTTTAAGGGGAAACAACACAAGTGAATAAATGAGCAGAACTACATCACAAGAAAAAAATTAAAATGGCTTTTTATACATTTTTCACAATCATTATTTTTTTTTTTAGGAAATCAAATTGGCATATAAAACAATTTAAAAAAAACTGAATTAAAAACATTTTTGTTTAATTTTTTTTCCTTAATATGCTTTAAAAGATATCACCTAGTATTAATAACAAACAAACAAAAAAGTAAATACTAAATGTATATTTTTTAAGAATTGAAATATATAGAGGTATTTGTTGAATAACGGTTTTCCAAACATTTTAAGACAATGTTATATTCAATATTTGTATCGGAATTTATAATAAATTTCATTCAGTTTAAAAATAAATTTCTTAAAATTTGAGTCAACGTACACAACACATGTATATTATATAATAAAAAATTAAATATTTTTTTTTAATGCTTTTTAAGCAATTTTCTTATTATAATTAAAAAAATGTTATGCAGTATTAAACGTTATGAAAAATTTAATTTTTAATTATAAAAAAATATATCAAACGTTATCAAAAATTTTTAATCGGAATATAATGTTATGTGCTACCTGGGTCCAAGGTCAAAACTATTAATGGAAAAGACTTCTCACAAGAAATATTTTAGCAAAGTTTAGTTTGGTCAATTTTGCAAGGTCAAGAGGTCAGATATGTTGAAATCCAGAGGAGTTGAAACCCAGAAAACTGTAAGATACATGTGTTTAAATTGTAATTCATGTAATGAAAAAAAATCAAATTAATCTAAAAAAAATCGTCTTTTTCATCGACAAGAATTAAATTCATTGAAAGTGCAGTAGGGCATTGTTGTTACGTAATGACTTTATGAATTTTTGCAGTCCAAAAGTTAATTTGTAACAGTTCGATATTAATTGCTATATTTTATGAAAAACTGAGTATAATTCTTGTTTTCACAAGATAATATCTCGCTTAAAAAAAAAAATCACGGCTGGTATCTTAAAAAAACACGAATTACGTACATGTCCTAAATATACCACCATACATTAAATCATCAAAGTTAAATTTTTAATAAACCCATACCCGTGGGAATCAATTTCAGGGGGGGGGGGGGGGTGCATAGTCATATATTTTCAGTTGGAGACACTTTCAACTACCAAAATTTTTAAATTGTACATTTAGGACATATATTATTCAGACTTTGCAGTGGGGGTGGGGTGAGTTTTTTTTTCAGCTAGGTTATTAAATGATTATCTGAAAATAGCATTTTTTAAATGTTGAAATGCCTCTCGGAGCCCTTGATTGGTAATTAAAATATCTTAACTATATTTCCTAAAGTACACTGTGATCTGTTTGAATTATTGTAACCAAAAAAAAAAACCCAACGCAGCTGAAATTAGCAGTTAGTGAACAAAATTAAAGTTTAAAATCCAGAGTTTAAATAAAATGTAGTAGTCTTGGTGGGAAAAATAGGGTCGGATATGTTAATAACAAAAAAGCATTCCCCCAAAAAGCGGAGTATGTATGAATCAAAATTGTACGACTTAACAAAAGATGTGATCATGTGATCAAGAAAATTCGGGTTGGAAATTCGGACCGTCACACTCAGTTGAACATCAGATATAGAGATGTCGAAATTGATCGGGGCAGTAACTGTGAGTATTTTGAAACACTGTGTCTCTTTAGAATTTACAACATACTTAAATAAGTTGAGATCTACAATTTTTCTACTCAATGTTTGTTGTATAATTCGAAAATTGATTGATGAAGAGAATTCTTTAAAGAGTGCATTTGTTATAACGGTCATTGTCTTGTTACATAAGCTGCTTTTGTTGACTTTTCACACTTTTATCTACATTACTGTCATCTGACCTATACTATATTTATCGATCATTTTATGAGCAAATGGTTTTATGTTTCCTGGAAATATCAAATGTTACAGAATAATTTATTATTTTACCATTGTTTACTACGCATTGAGTTAATTTCATTGACTATTTCAGCTATACCCCCCCCCCCCTACCGTAAAAAATAACAAAATACCTTGAACTTCCAAATGAAAAAAAAAGGTGACATTCAGATTTGGGGGGGGGGTCATTTCAGGCCACTAAATAATTGTCTGAAATTTCTATATTGAATATTTTTTTCTAATTTTCAATGCAATGGATCATCATTTATTTCTGTGTCATGAAATCAAAAAAATGAACATCTTCATATACAATAAATGATGAAATATTTTGAAAGTTAATTAGATATAAATTCCCTGCAGATAGATTGAGTATGATTATAATCTGGCTTTGGTCAAAAGTTAAGCTATGATTAAATTTTTTGAATGTATGAACAATACCATTCAAATATAATTGAAAATTATTTCAATAATGTTAACATTATGTTTCTAAACATATAAAGTCAAATTCATGTAGCCAATACTATACAAGTCTGGTCTAAAGTAACACCATAAAATCAATTATACATTTTAATGTTATGCCTGTCATTTTAAATAAAAAAAATTCTTTATCTTGTTTTTCAGAGATATTACGTTACTTATCTTTTCTTCACTAAACAAATATTTTCCCCCTCTTATTTTTCCCCTGACATTTCTTTCCTTGATCAAATTTCAAACATGAGACATTTTCTTTCATAATTTATTTTAATGTAGTCTAACTGCATTATTTCATGAAAGATAATTAACTCTTAAGGGGGGACCTATGTCTGAAAAGTCTTTGTGTGAATTTTTCAAAACTTTGACATTTCTTTCCTGACCACTTGCTCTTAATTTTTAGGTATTAAAAACAATACCTTTTTATGCTAATTTTTACACAGGAACACGTGCAAAAACAGTGTGAAATGCTAAAAATAGATTATTTCAGACATTATTGTTCTACTTCAAATATGCGCTAAAAAGAACCAAAAATGTCAAATCACATTCGAAATCAAAAGGTATTTAATCTATATGACTTTTTTCTTTAAAATGATGGCAAATTCATTATAATTCATCTTGCATGAAAAATTATAATGGAGCGCAATGTAAGTATCATCCTGTTTTTCTTGTCATATTTTTTACAATTCCGACATGCATAACAGATAATATCTTTAAAAGTCTTTGTGTGAAAATGTTGTAATTCATATTTTTTTTAAAGAAATGATTCATCTCTTTATTTTAAAAAAGAAAAAAGTATACCTTTATGATAAAATAAACGAGAAATATGATGTTTTCTTTTATTTTCGTACTCTTGTGTTATAAATATTGACCTTTCTGCACTAAGACAAAGGAATGTAAGGACTGACAAACATCCGAATATAAAACTATTTTGCGAAAAACGAGTATTTTGTTTTGATTAGAAATAATTTAAACAGATTAATTCATTTCTTCTTCATTCTAAACATTCTGCCCCCCACCCCTTTAGACTTTATACAATAAAATCTACATGTACTATACATCAATAAGCAAATATAGGTACAAGTACATTTCTTAAGTTTTTCTTAGTTTTATCCAGAAAATACATTTAATGGTAAACATAAAATTAAACATACAGAGTATTTCCCTGATTTTAAGCCACTTTCTTCGCTGAATTTTATCTTATCTTTTTGCAGTTATATATCAGCATATCGAGGTATTTCTTCACAACTGAAATTGCTATGAATTATCAACCAAAGGAAGAGAATTCTGATATTAACAAACTCCATAAATCAAATAAAACTGTTATTAATGATGAATAAATTTTCTTTTTGTAAATTGTGTATGTTATTGATTATTAACAATGTTATGCCTATATCAAAGTTTCAAAAGTAAACAGGTAAAATCAAACGTCGCTATTGTGACGTCACATAACGCTGCTTTGACGTAGAACGACATAGGTCCCCCCTTAAAACATTTTTCTATGTTTGTTTCAGTTCAGTTAAACTGACATTGCTCTAATCTATTATATAATAATCTGTATCGTTCATAAAATTGTATGATTGATCTAAATAATTGATAAATGCCCATTTTGTATACTAATGCTACAATACGCCATAGTGGATTTCATATCATTAGTGGTAACCCCCAATACCCTCATGCATTTTTAAAATATAAATATTTAAAATGGTATAATTCAAATGCACACAAATCTTTCTCAGATTAGTCTTGAAATTTGGAATGTTGTGTTTCTGTGTAACAAAGTTTATTTGTACAAATAGGATTAAATTATTGTGATACTATAAATTATATAATGCTAAAGGAAGATATTTCCATGCTCAAGGATAGTATTTCATGGGACAATCAACCCTAGGTCATGTAGAATAATAACAACTAACAAAAGAAATCCTAAAGGAAGAAAAAACATGTCTTATGTCAATTTTGAGATTTGTGCCTGTCTTTGCTCTCATAGATTGTCTTAATCATTCATCATCAACAAACAGCACAGGTTAAATATTCAAAAGTTAAGTAGACCTGTGATACACAGAGTTTAATAACTGTGATTGTTTACAATATACTGGTATGTGATACTACATGGTATTACATGAACAGCTGTCCATTTGATATGGTACTATATACACATATAAAAATATAAGAACAGAGAAAATCTTGAATGGAAGAGCAAGGACAGCACCAGAGACATTGTCAGAAACCCACGGTCGGTCTCGCTTCTCTTAAGAGAAGAGAGAGATGCACCAGAGAGAGAGAGAGAGAGAGAGAGAGAGAGAGAGAGAGAATTAAATTAGAACTGATTTATTTTATTAAGACAGGGCTTGTTTATCTAAAATTCCGGCCTGGTACTATATGGCAATAAAACAGGAAAAACAGGAAAATTTAAAAGTTGATTATGTTGAGTTAGAAGAGAAAATAACCATTATTGCAGGTGAAACATTGAACCAGAAATTTATTTACCCCAGCTAGCAGATTTTATGCTGAGATATCACCGTTTTAAACGTCTTGGATAAATGCAGAGATATTTTAGAGGATTTTGAATCCTAAGTGATTACATACTTATTTTGCTGATGAATGAATTAAATGTTACTGATTCTCAAGTTCATTGTCATGCATCTTTGAACTTTGAAAACTAATGTCATCAACAACTCTCCTAAGAAAATATCCAGAGCTAGTATTTAAAAAAAAGGATTTATATGTATGTTTATTTTTCAAAGTATTTATGGCATCTAACATGTCTAATAGGTAATGAATCAAAATGATATATAGCGCCCTCTTTCAGTCATGCTAGAGATAATTTATCAAATTTAACAAATGCACCATTTACATACAAATTCATTGACTACAAAAAGACATATTATATCTTTATATAACAGTTCCTATTTAATTATCTTTATAATTTAAAAAAAGGTCATCATTTTGACTTTTTCTGCAACAAGTGCACTATAACTATATTACAGGTACATAGTGAAATGTGGTTGTAGTGCATATCTTAAACAAATTCATGTCTACAGCAAAGTGTTTTTGAAATTTATTCCTACATGTAGTTGTGTTTTATACAATTATGAACATTGATATTAAATATGATTTAAGTACATTTATTACAAATCAAAAGTGTGTGTCCTTGTCACTGCTTTAAACATGATGTTTATAGAATCCTAATGTATTTATCATGTGTGGGCTACAATTTTTATATCACTATAAGGTCTGAGAGTTTCAGCACGTAAATTGTAGGTCATGAAGAATGCACCTTACAAGATGGTGAAGTTAACTAAGACTTATTTCTATTTGACAGGGGCCGCTGCTCCCATACTGGGAGATTGTGAGGGAGCAAGTGAATTCCTCCTGTGAAGGCGTGGAGCCATGGAAGATCATCGTCTGTTCCTGTGGAACCACCCTTCTGGTCCTCACCGTCAGGAACATTCTCTTCTCCGACGAGGACAGTAAGTGTCTGTTAGGAATGTTAGATTGGTTACAGGTTGATTAACTTATATTTAGACTAAATTAGTACTTAAGGGGCTTGTTTCTTCTCTGACCAGGAAAGTAAGTGTCCGTTAGGGATGTTGGTCACTTTACTATAATCTTAGCTGTAGCCTAAATTAGTACTTTAGTGGTTTGTTTCTTCTCTGACAAGGACAGTAAGTGTCCATTAGTGTTATTATTTGGCTTAGTCACAAGTCACTTAACTACCGGTAATCTCAACTATAGTCTAAAGTCATACTTAAGATTTTTTTCTTGAGTACATGGATGCTATATATTTGTATGCTTCAACTTCCTTGGGGAGCAATTTAGATGGGATCAAGTCGCTGTTACAAGTTTATGATATATCTTCATGTGTTTTGTCCCTTGTTCTACATGTTATAAGCATCCAGACAAAAAATAAAATGCTATGGTCTGGTGTGTGGGTTGTGGTATCTGTAAACTTTTTAAAATGTGGGCTATATCTCAAGAACCACTTGTCCAACTCAATCAAATCTGCCACAGTGTAATTGCATGGGTAAAGTACCAATAGGGCAAAGGGAATGGTTTCAAGGTCCCATCAAAATTGACCTAAAGTGACATATACTGTAGATCACCTTATTTTCGCGAGATAGTCATTGACTCTTGATTAGCGACACAAAATTTTCGCGAATTGTGGTTATTGCTACATATAATCTTAAGGAATACTATTATACGCAAGAATTAAATTTTCGCGAGCACACTGTCTCGCATAATTACGCGAAAATAAAGTTCTCACGAATAAAAAGTGATTTACAGTAGTGCATCAAACAAGAAGACGATCACTAGAAGTAGGTTGCAGTGAGCTACTTTATACATTTTATAGCTATTCATTTTGAAAACGTTTAGCTAAATGTTTAATTTTAAAGATACTAAGAGGCTTAGAATCACCAAAGCTTGTCAGTTGATGCATCTTGGTCCTCCCCATAATTTGCCAATTCAAAAGAGTTCAAATAAATAGCTTCAATTTATATGCATTTTTAAAAGGAAAATGATTTTTGCTATACCAGAGAATGAAAGAAAATAACTTTTGTGGAAAATGAATCTATGAAAAATTGATAGAATAAACATGACAATATCACTAGCTTTATTCATTTAATGTGGATTTTTATAGGATTATTGTAAAATATTACTTGAAATTGTCATTTGACTTTTCAAACTCATAAATACCCTTTTGGAGACCTCAAATTTTTTCACTTTTCTCGACAGCCCTAACCAACAGAACAAAAAAAGAATTTTTTCGCTTGGTGAAAAAAATTCCATTTGTCCAGAAGAGGATCGCAGAGGAAAAGAAAAAGATAATGAAGGACATGGAGCATGCAATGAATGCAGAAGTCGACAAATACATCACACACTTACCAACAGAGGGACTTAAAATGGTGAGATGTCAGAATAATGAATCCTAAACTATATCTGACAGAGAACTTTTGTTTCAAGTTCTGTATAAAATGGCCCTGTTATTATCTAGACAATTATCTGCATATGTTTATGTCAAATGTTGTGAGTAAGACTTCATAATTTTTCCAGCTTCTACACGTATTAAATAATTTCCCTTTAAAGGCTCATTTATGGAAGAACAAATCATATTCACTTGTGTTTGGCTTGTTCTGTTGAGTTATTTGAGATTTTGTGCTTTTCTAATCTTTCATGTTATTGTATTTCAAGGAGACCCTCATGGAAGAGTTGAAAAGATACCAAGATTTAGGTTGGTTATAATATGATCATATTCATTTTGATGTCAAATACACTCATTTATGTAATGTACTAAAAACTATGAAATTATTATCACACATACACAGATATACAGATATAATTCTCTGTCTGATAACCTTGCTGCAAGCTGCAAGGCTGTATTACATGGAATTGATGTAATTAAGGATAATGACAGTGTCATTTCTCCTATGTCATTCTGTATTCAGGTTTTTCTACACATTAAAAATAAAATATAAGGTGACCTTTTATCTATTTTTAGCCAAAGTGGACTGGAGCAATGGGACCATATCAGGCACAGTGTACAGTGGGGATCCTACACTCACTCATTTAATGGAAAAGGTCAGGACACATCCAATTGCAAATCCCTTATTATCCTGAAAATTTCTGTTTATAGTTTGCACTAACAAAGTCAAGTAAAGCTTATCCTTGATAACAGTTCTGTTTACAAGTGGGACCACCCATTGATCCCACTTGTTCAGGGATCAATATGAATGGATGTGAATGGTTTGTGTGTGGAAATCAGCCTTGGAAGCTCAACTGGTAGACCACTTGTTCAGTGATACAGGGGTCCCAGGGTTTATTCCTTGTCTTGCCATACATTTTCCCCTTTCCTGTTACATGATAAAGTGCCTGGGCTATCCCTGGACTTGCAGATGAAAGTCCTGCCAGGGGCATTAGGAACATGGATTGTGTCTAGAGGGCAGAGACAATTAAAGGAGAGAGGAATGTGTTAACACGGTTTGGGCCTTCGATATCAGCCTGCTTAGCTTGGTAGAGCACCTGACTAGTGATACAGGAGTCCTAGTTCAATTCCTTGTTCAGCCATACATTCTCTTATTTCTCCTTAATCAGATTTATGTATACATAATTGATACAGTTATAGGCATCAATTTCTTATGACTTTACACTTGTAGGTGTATGGAATGTTTGCGTGGACCAATCCTCTCCATGCTGATGTATTCCCAGACATCAGGAAAATGGAGGCAGAAGTTGTCAGGATGTGTTGTACCATGTTTAATGGCGACATGGAGTCCTGCGGAACAGTAAGGGACATTTAAATTTAAAGATCATTGACTTTTGGGTTAAACAATTACTGTTGAATGGGTATGATGACATGTCTATTGTCTTGTTTACAGATGACTTCTGGTGGCACAGAAAGTATCCTGATGGCAATGTTCACCTACAGAAACATCGCAAGGGAGAGGGGCATTAAAATCCCTGAAATGTGAGTAACATATGTTCACAAAATTCATATTGATGCACATGTACAGTATTACGTGTACTTTAATTTTGCAAACATTCTGATTTCATAATTCTTCTTATAGCATTGTGCCAATCACAGCTCATGCTGCTTTTGATAAGGTAAGTTGGTTGGATTACCTATTTTTCTTAAATGCAATGTCTGTAATTCCATGGACTTTGGTATGCTCACTTTATAACACATTTATGATATTATTTACTTGGGATTGCCAGACTTAAAAGAGAATGTGCATTTTATTAATACAAAATATTTCTCCATTCTTCTCCCATCAGGCAGCTGCATACTTCCACATGAAGATAACTCACATTCCTATTGATGAAGAAACTAGAAAAGTCAACATTAATGCCATGAGAAGAGCAATAAACAAAAACACATGTGTTGTACGTATTGTGATACATCCAGGCAAATCCATTTATAATCAAATGTAGTTACTTACATTCTTGAAAACAGTAACTGATAGAAAACTGACTATCCAGTAGTTATAATGAATTGTGGCAGTTAACATTCACATTGGATATTTACTGGTTTGATAAGTAAAATGATGGGTTTGAGCAAGACATATTTTTGCCGTTATGCATCAGTCACAAATATTGTGGATGTTTCTAGCATGCAAATGAAATACATGTAATAGACAAGTATTTTGATTTTTCAGTTAGTAGGATCAGCACCACAGTTTCCACATGGGACCATTGATGACATAGAATCTATAACTCAGGTATGGATATTACATGTACTTATGACATCCTTCCTTGTATCTTGAACACTGTAATCTTGTTAAAGTGAATTGGAAGTGACAACCATTCATTCTTGAAGTACAGTACTGGTAGTTAAACCTTCAAATCTTGAATACTTGGATATCTCAAAGTTTTTCTTGGCCCCATCAAGTTTTTAAGATGAAGAGGCTTGACTGCACATGTACATACATGTAACAGGGTCAACTGATATGGAATCTTTTATCTGTGAAATTAAATGTTAACCATATTATTCCTTTCTACATCTTCTATAACATTGTAATTGTATACCTGTATTTTCAGTTAGGGTTGAAGTATGGCATTCCTGTCCATGTGGATTGTTGTCTTGGGGGCTTCCTCTACCCGTTCATGGAGAAGGCAGGATTTACTGTCCCTGTGGTAGACTTCAGATTACCTGGGGTCACAAGTATCTCAGCTGATACACACAAGGTAGGAATCAAACAAACTAGATACAGAAAACTGAAATATGCTTATATCAAAGTACCAGGGGTGAAGAATTTTGATTCATTGTAAATGTAACTCATTGTAAATGTATATTCACTATAAAAATCACTTTGCTGTAAGTGCGAGTTAATATTATTTGTGTTTGACGGTATAGGTCTTGTTACTAGGCCTGGGCAAAATATCGATATTTCGGTATATTAAAAATCACATATTGCAATACGTTTTTGTAAAGGGTGACTAGGGAATTTTAATCAGATATTATGTGTGTTTGACTGTTTTAGTATAGGTCTTTAATAAAATGATTTTTTTATTTATACTTTCATAGTTAAGTACATTCTACATGCAAATTAAAGTTAATATGATAAGAAAATGTTTAATATTGATACCAGTTGTCGCAATATATTACGAAATATCTGGCCAATACCCAGCCCTACTTTTTACCTATGGTGCTTAGTCTCTCTTGGAATAAATGTTTAATATGATGCCTGTTTTTCAGTATGCCGTTGTTGTTTTTCAATATGCCTTTGTTGTTTTTGTACAAAAATACAGAAATGACTACAGAAAATTCCAGTTCTTTGTGCAGCCCAACTGGCCTGGTGGTATCTATGCCACAGCTGCCATTGGAGGTAGATAAATTCACAGTTATGTTACCTGTCTGACTAAATGCTGGCAACATCTTTAGCTATTTTTTTTTTTTTTAAAAAGAACTGGACTTAAACTTTTCTCATTGTTTAACAAACACTATTTTATACACATTACTTTAGCAGTAGTAATTCTATTTTATCTTATCATGTTCATAAATTTAGACACATATACACATTTATACTGATTTTAGGTAGCCGACCTGGTGCCATCATAGCGGTGTGCTGGGCAACCCTTATGTACTTTGGAGAAAAAGGTTACGTTGATTCTACAAAGAAGATCATCTCCACAGCCAGATACATAAAAGCAGGGTATGTAAACATTTTCTGGAAGATTGAATAACATCATTCTTAAGCAAAGTGAGTTTTAAACTGCTCATTGCTAGACATAGTATTGCAAAGCTGAGATGTATTTTTAGAGTTGTTATAAGATTTTGATTGAAAATTTTTGTACTGGTACTTGATACAGGCTGAAGAAAATCCCTGGGTTCCACATATTTGGGGATCCTCAGATGTCAGTGGTGGGGTTTGGACCAGCAGAGGGATTCAAGTACAACATCTTCACCTTCTCCGACATGATTGCCAAACGAGGCTGGAACCTCAACCCACTTCAGTTTCCCTCAAGGTTCTTTTCATAGTTTAAATAAATAAATTACACTTCATGTACATGTAGCCGAAAAAAAAATCACATTTTTCTGTGAGGTTGATGTAGCTGTTTCCATCTGTAAACTTTTCACATTTTATCTTCTTTCAAGAACTGCTTGGCCAATTGCTAAGCAAACTTGCCACAAAGCATCTTAGGTAAAGGGGATTCAAGTTTGTTCAAATGAAGGGCAACGCCCTCATTCAAGGGGAGATAATTGGGAATTAATGAAAATTTGGTGGTATTTTTAAAAATCTTCTTCTCAAGAACCTCTGTGCCAGGAAAGATGAAACTTCTGGGGAAACATGCTCAGGTAGTGAAGATTCAAGTTTGTTCAAATCATGACCCCCGGTGGTAGGGCGGGGCCACAATGGCCGACCAAAGTTTTACATAGAATTATATAGGAAAATTCTTTAAAAATCTTCTTCTCAAGAATAGCAAAGCCATAATTGATCATATTTATATGGAAGGTTAAAATACCCCCTCTTAAGAGAGACAACTCTTGCTAGAATAAATATCTTATGTTCCTTTATAAAATTGCCAAGTTGAAATTCATTTCTGTCAGTTTTGCTCAGCAAAATATGCTAAAATTGATTTAATTTTTTTTTTTAAATTGATTAACACTAAATCATAATTTTATATGGTTGAATAGAGGAATAAAGCTGAATTTTTATTGAAATTCTTCAGCTCTGAAACTCTGTCTATTTTAGTGTACATCTTTGTGTGACTCTTCTTCACACAAAAGAGGGAGTAGCTGACAAATTCCTGCAGGATTGCAAAGAATGTCTAGAAGAGTTGCTGGCATCCCCTGATGCTGAAGCAGGTGGAATGGTAAGTTGTGGTCATTTTGTCTACCGGTATGTAATTTGTTACTCTATTAATTTTAATTTTACCCAATTTGTATAAAAATTATTCATGCATTTGATGCTTAAGACAGTTGATACGTTATTCTGAAATGTATCTGGGCATATTATTTCACGAAAAGAATTAATCTGGACTTGTAGGCTGCAATGTATGGTACATCCCAGAGTATCCCTGACCGTTCCATGGTTGCTGAACTTGCTGGGTGCTTTGTGAGCGCCCTCTACACTACAAATAAAAGGGAAGAGGCCAACGGAACCGTTCCAACTAACTAGGGTCATAAATAGCCTCTAGGTAAAACTCTGTCTCTCCCAGGAAGTTTGTACTGATGATATTATTGACAGAACAAACTGTACCAAGTAAGCATTTCAGTGACAAAGTTACTACTTGTTCCTGGTGCTCTTTATTGTTTTATCGTTCAAGTATTTATTTTATTGTGTCTCCCTTAGAAAAAAAAATCAAAGTTAAGACTTTCATAGATAACTTATTTATATACATGTAGATGCACAAACAATGCAATTCTGAATATAGAGACTGTCTATATACATGTGCACATATTTTCAGCGATTTATTTTACTGTGATATATATACTCTATAGTACTGTCAACATGGTCATATTTCTGAGTTGAAATATCTAACACTTCTTCATTTTACTAATTCAATGAGTGTAAACTTTTGTTTTTTACTTGGATGTATTGATATTATGCCCCCCCTTCGAAGAAGAGAGGGCATACATGTATTGCTTTGCTGCTGTCTGTCAGTCCATTTAGTTTCCGTTCATTTTCTTCACAACCGTTGCACCTACTGAAATGAAATTTGGTATACAGATTTATTAGATGAATATCTAGGTCAAATCCTGTTTTGGGTACAATTGCACCATTTTTCTTCACAACCATTGCACCAAAGGTTGCACAAATTGAAATGAAATGAAATTTATGTGCTAAATACAGTTCAGTTTCTGTTTTTTATCATATTTGAAAACTTTTCCATGTATATAACATTTATATACAGTCTATACTTGTACATTGCATATATATACTAGACTAGTTCTCATTGGTGAGTGCTTATTAAGAATATTTTTAAATTATTACAAAATAAAAATTAAGAGTTGAATTTGAAATTCAGGAAAACACTTTCAAAGATCCATAATAAATATACAGGTCATTTTTGCAAATTTTAAATCAGTATTGAATTGGTTTTGATTGTTGTAATTAATGTATCATATCTTATCATGATTTATTTGAAAATTTACATGTACATCTGTATGTATTTTGAAAATGTGAAAAAATCCTGATGTAAAGGAAGTGAATAAATTAATATGATATAGAAAAAAGACTTTTATCTAGAGGTCAAAGAAGATAAGATTTAACAGTATCGATGTAACTTAAATGACATACCGTATAAGTGGAAATTTTAGCGAGACGCAAATTTAGTGATTTGTTCAATATAAAATTGGTGTTTATTTTTAGTGAGATACAAATTAAGCGATTTAAAATGTTCACTAAAGAAGCTTTTACAAATAAAACGCAATTAATTTTTAGCGATATGAAATTTTAGCCATCTCAGCACCCTCGCTAATAATGCCAAAATTAAATCTTTGCTGAAAATTCTACTTATACGGTAATATAAATAATAATGCGGGTATACTCACTGTAGACACATGTATGACATTTACTTGTTATTAAGCATGTATGCATGGCAGATCAAATGCTTTCTGTTTTGCCAGTTTTGAAATCAGTTGGATCAATTTTAGCAATAATTTGAATATACCAGTTACAGATGATATTAAAAATTGATAATTTTTATTCCTGACCTTAGAGATCTCGTGTGAAGATTTTTTTTCTTACTTTATGACGGTTTTTGTTTGTGAATGGTACATTCGTAAAACTAAATGAAATTGTAGAAAAGTTTTATACTTTTTAATATTTTGGGATTAAAAAAATTGTGATTGTGATTTTGCATTATGTAAGAATATTCTATTAAATTAATGAAATATTACCTACAAAATAAAGAGTAATAAATATTGTATTTATTGGTTCTATCAATGAAAAGGAAGATGGTTCAAAGGTAGGGCTGTATCAATATATCGATATATCGATACGTATCGATATTCAAGAAAAATATCGTATCCAAAAATTACTTCCAATACGTATTGGACAAGCAGTTTTTCTTCTAATTCTGCTAAAAAGATGGGAATTTTAATCAGCAAAGATTATATTTCACTTTTACGTATTAAATTGATCAATAATTATAGATTCATAAAAGAAATAACACAGTTTTTATAGTTATTACAAAATTCATAACATTTTTTTTTAACATGTTGATTTTACAGTCATTAAAAGTTTCGTTTGGAAGTGTTTTATTTACTGACTATTGGATAAGAACTATGAAATGGGTAATAAAACACTAATTTTTTTTTATGAAATCCATGCATTAAATGATTAATAAGCCTTTTTTGATGAACTTGTTTAAGAATCCAATATATCGCATATCGCTTTAAAAAATATTGTATCGTATCGTATCGAAATTTTTTGCTCAATACACAGCCCTATTCAAAGGAAAGGGTTAAGTGAAATTATACTCCCCCTTCTGTGCTTTCAACATTTGGGAGTTCTGGAGCATATATTATCGTTTTACAAACAGCGTGACATTTTGTTTGGTAGGGCGTGCTAAACTTTTGTATGCTGATTATCAGTTTACTCATCGATTGGATGTTTGATTTCAATGGAATCAAAAACACTTTGCATATGAAACATAGAACCCAACAATACCACTGACAATACTGACCAATCTTATTGAATCACATGTTAACTAGCATGCAGTAAACAACAATTACACGTGGACATACGGACAAAGCAAGTTTTACAACCTATTATGATGATATTGATAGCTACATAGTACAACAGTAGCAGAGTAGCCTTACTAATTCCATTCTCTGAATTTTCTTATACGTATATAAAACCATCTGGTCAAATCATAACAAATATAATACATGCTTTTTTGAGGACAGAGAACGGGCTTTGACTGACTGCGTGTTGCTGGTGAGTATAAATACTGCACTGGTGAACAATCATTCAATGTGATTGGCCAGTATTCTCAGGATATTGTTGAATTCTGAGTTTCATATGCAAATCAGTATTGATTCCATTGAAATAAAGCATCCAATCGATGAGTAAAATGAAAATCATCAAACACAATTTTAGCACGCCACATCAAGCAAACTGTCACGCTGTTAGTAAAATGATAATAATTTTTAGGGCCCCGCAAGGATTTTGTACATAATCACTCTGTCTGTCTGTCTGTTCCGTCCACAAATTTTCTGTTTTTTCTTAATAACTTTTTTTTAAAAAAAAATTTGGTATGGTAGTTCAAGGCAAAAAGACATATTTTGATTAACACAAGGAACCGGTTATAACTTTATATAGAACTAATAGGTAAAGAAAGCCATGAAAATGTTCCCATTGTAAACTGAATACTGCAATGAAAGTTAAACTGTATGGAAAATCCAAAGCATTAAAGTTTTATTAAAAGTGTGCAAAAAGTTTGTTTTGAAGTTATGTCCATTTAAGTGGATTGAAGTGTTAATGTTTTTACTGTTTTTTTGTTGAAATACCCTACACAATGAGTTCTGGTTTCATTGAATTCTTAAAACAAGAAATAGATTAAAGAAAGTATATATATATATAGCCATGAAAAAGTTCTATTATAAATTCAGAAGAAAAATTATGGGCAGGGTTAAAGTCTTATCTTTATCTGTCTCTTTAAGAAATGAAAACAGACTGCTGTTTGTTTTGATGGACAGGGCATAACTATATGTAACACCCATTATTGTTTAGATATACATTCAGTGTTGAGTTGGGGCATGAAAATGTCATATATTTTTCAAATGGCATAAGTGCAATTGCCCCCTGGTCAGTTTTCTCTTGAAATGTCTAGCAGGAATAAAAAAAAACAGGAAAGTTCTTAACACAACAAGTAAAACATGTAGTTCTGTAGGATAAAGTTTTACAAAGTGTGCAAAAGTAGTAAGCAAAAAAACTGTGTCAAAGAAAAGTCTTGACACAAGGAATACACCTGAAATATAAAAGCCATAGCTCTAACCATTCAAAAATTATGGGCAGGGTTAAAGTTTTTGAAATAAAATAGAGATGGATGGCATATCACTATATGTCAAAATTCAATAGGGGGCAAAAATGCAATTGCAATTGACTTGAAATGTCTAACAGGAATAAACAGACTTCACAACAAGTACATGTATTCTGTAGCTTTTACTAGTAGTAAGCAAAAATGCTGTGTCAGTTTATCTACATTGAATTAAAAAGATATATACGAGAGGGTTCTCTTTGATTTAAATAGAGTAATGCATAACAAGGTGTCTAAATTCATGCAAAAATGCAATTATGACAGCTAACAAAGAAATATGTGTCAAAGACTACATTAATCACCTTGTATTCAAACTGCACTATGCATTTTTTTCTAACAACTTTCCAATTGATATATCTTTTCTTACAAAAAGTGCATTGTCAAACAAAGTCAGGAATGGGACTGACCCCTGAACAGAGAATTTGTTATAAATATTATATCGATTGCCCTCTTTGGAGTGGTTTCTTTTTTTTCTTTTTTTTTTGGAAAATGACAGTAGAGAAATTATTTGTGTTTTGGGTTTCTCGCAGGATATTGTTGCCCGTAAAAAAAAACAAAATGGAACAAAATATTTACATTTTATTTTGTAAATGTACCAATCAAAAACTGTGTTTGTAACAATAACAGGAAATAATGTTAGGTTGTAATATTAGCACCCAGCAAGCTTTTAACAGTCAAAGACAACAAAATATAAGCACAATATTAGAACATAGTAAAAAAAACATGATTTTAATTTGTTCATGTAAGAAAAGAAAAAATTGAGCAGAAGTAATAAAATGTGTAGAGCAATTTCAATTTACTTTATAAAACACAATACCAATATCTTTTACATAGAAATTCCTGTACAGCACCAGAATTCCCCACAATTAATGTCAAGAAAGTAGGGGAAAAGGGGTAAGTAAAGATTTATAGTACAAATTATTATAGTCATCCATCTGGAGACTAACATTCTGAACTAGTAATACTTTATTTGACATGGTATTCTTTGCTATCTAGTAGTATGTTGGCTTTTAGCATATTTAACTCTATCGATATTATCGGTATTAATTGATTCTTGACAGAAAACAAACAATTACATTGGTCTGATGCGCTTCAGTAAAACATGCTTATAATGAAGTCCAGGTACAGACAGTTTTGTCTCTTTGTTGACTTAATTAATTATCCCTTAAAGTTTTGATAAGGTTTAAACCTTGGGAAATTTAAATTACTTAGCTATAGGTATTTGTTATAACTGTGTTCATTATAAGCATGTTTTACTGTACCTGCTGTAATGAAACTAACACTTGTAGGATACAGTCTTTAGCACTTGTTAATCATATTAAAGACATACTTGTTACTTCATGAACACAATTGAAAACATTCTTACAAGTATTAAACATATTCCACTTTAGATTGAGAAACGTATGATAACTTCACTTACACCTAAAAATTCATAATCGAAATAAAATTTGCAATTCTTAACAATTTCATTTGCTCATAAAGTAATTCCTCAATTAAAATGGTACAAAAAAAATATATCTGCTATAAAAGTGTACACTTGCTTGGGAAAGTTCACAATATTGATATAAATAAGTGCAGAAATTGTAATGACTGATTCATAGGTGGAATGTTTATTGGCTAAAAATGAGACATTGTCGAATCATATTAGTACAAGATGTGTGAAATGTGACATGGAATGTTTAATTAGCTTCATGTAAAAGTGAGACACATCAAATTACATACGTACACTAATAAAAAGTAGTTTGAATGGATCTAGATGCATGTGGAGACTAATTATCAAATATAATATCAGGACCACCCAAATTTTAAATTTCAATGTTTTATGAGATATTGGATATTAAAATGTGTACACGTGAATATGAAAAACCTAAATAGACATTGTTACAATAATTGTGAATGTCACATTATTTTTTCTTCTTAACTAATAAAAGTCATATATGAAATGGACAATAAAAAGTACCCTTTCATTTATTACAATATATTTATATAAACAGGACATGAAAATAAACTATGAAAGATGGTCATTGACAGATGATTGCATTGTACGCTGTAATGCCATTTGAATTAATTTCATTGCAATAAGCAGGAAACAAGTATTATACAGAGGGTTACATTGTCAAGCTTAAGAAATTATGAAAAACTAAAGAGGTTGATTTCAGTTAAATTTTGACCTAGAAATGGAGTACATCAGGCCACAAGTTTACTTAAGATATTGCAATACTGAGTCTTGAAAAAAATTCCTTTCAACTTTATATAAAGAGATCAATCAACTGAATGCTAAAAAGCATTATAATTATGTACATTTCCAGGAATGAGCAATTGTTAATTGCAACTTTACATTTAAAAATTAACTTCAAAAACAAAATGTGTAAAAACTCTGAAAATTATATTGAGCATTGATTATTATTGCATTGCATATTTATGCAATCAATTGACCTTTAACACTGTGTAATATTGCCTAAGTGCACCACTGTATTGCTACAACCATTACATTATGATTGCCAGGATTTAGTACATAACTAATTATCTCAACTTCAATACTTGTGTCAGTACGTCCTATTAAGGTCTGTACAACAGTACAAATGATGTATAAACATCCTGGATTTACTTCTGGAAAGACTGTTTAACACAATCTTATGACTCTGTAAGCCATTGAAACAAGAAGTTTAATTCATAAGGGTAACACACTGTTCTTAAGGTTGTGGACAATTCTTAAACAGCAACATAACATCAAAACAAACAAAATCAAAAGAAATACAAGTGACTTACTTTCATCTGATAAATTTTGTAACCCAGGCCCTGAATAATCTCAGTTTCTACAGTAAAGTCTCATGATTTGTCTAATACATGTATTGTATAATTTCTAAAACAATTAGTCAGGAAGTTCGCCAAACTTAAGGTTATAATGCTGAAGCTGAGTCTGCAGGATCATGACGCGCTTGACCGCTTCATCCGTGGACCTCTTTTCCGCCGCCAATTTGTCCTGAAGAGTCTTCAAAGAAGACCTATGAGCATTGTCCATGGTAGAAATTCTGCTTTCATATCTCTGAATGATAACTGAGTTACTAGAACTTAATTCCTTAATGTATCTCTCTAGTCGTACAATTTTCATTTGCATTTCATTGATCTTCACTTCTTGTTTCACTTTAATTTCTTGCAATTCTTTATTTTCAGTTTCTAATCGAGCACATTTGCTGTTAACATCTTCATTAATGTCTCCATTAACATCTTCGTCCTCTTCCCGGATTTCTTCTCCTCCTAGCTGGCCATTGGGAAGCTTTGACTCGTTGGGAGATTGTGCATCCTGGAACATAATGTCCGACTCCTGAACCACAGGAAAGTGGGTCTCCAATTCCTCTGTTGTACTTGAGACCACCACCTTCCTATTCTCGCCCCGCCTTTGGCCCACTCTCTTTCTCCTAGCTGGGGCCACAGGTTTACTTTCAGTATTAGGAGAAGTAGTCTCACCTGCCAAAGATAATAGATTAAAATCCAAATTTTGAAAGTTTGCTTCCTTTTCTGATGCATCTGTACCATATAATTCCTTGTTAATGCAGTCCATCAGATTAAGTGAAGTGGGCTGGAGAACACTAGTTCTGTCATAGGGCTCTAAGTCCAAAAGATTGCCTACTGGTACAGTCTCTGGCTGTTTTTCCCCAAATAATTCTTTCTCATACTCAATCATCATAAACACCAACTGGTGGGTAATATCAGCAGTTGCCATGAGCAATTCAGCACTATCTGCCTCTGACACATTTCGAATAATGTTTGGTCCAAACACTGTAGCAATATTCAATACAGTCATCTTGTTCACATCCGAATTTTTGCCCACAAGAGCCAGAAATTTACACAAGAAGGACAAAACATTAAAATTGTCTTCAGGGAGGTCAGTTAAGGCCACTCGTAAATCATCAATGGCTTTCTGCTTATCCTCGTTTGCTTGTGAGCCCTGGAATCGGAGGGCAATGTTCATGAACTTCTGGTAGTACTCTGCAGGTATCACTGATTGAGGTAGTTCTCGGAGATAGAGTTTTAACAAGGATGCTACTGTGTGTACATCAACATCATCTTCATCAAATATAACACGTTCTGCTGAGTCAAATTTTTCTTTCAGCTCTTTTATCAGCAGATTCCGACCAGGTAATCTGGAAGACATTGGCAAAATAAATATTGTGGTTTATAGTAAGTTAATAATTATGTTAAACATATACAGCTTTAAAATAATGTCTAACACAAATTAAGACAGAAGCTAATTTGAGATAGCAATAGTTTGTAACAATACAAGTTTGTGACCTTAATCTTTGTCCTTTTTACCTCAAAGTCATTACTCAAAAGGGATCAAGTTTTATTTAATTACAGGCAGTACTGAAATGACCTGAAAATCTTTTTTGTGACCTTGACCTTTCATCTTTTGGTCTCAGATTCAAATGGGACTTTTTTTTTAAGAGCAAGTTTTGACTCAATAGGATTCTGAAGTTGAAATGTGGAAATAAAAAAAAACTAGAAATATGTCCATAGGACATGAATGCCCTGCCAAGGGTATATTAGTAATGTAACATGAAAATTTGTATTAGTGTATGAAATTTGAACTTGAAAAGTGATGCAGTTGAATTGCTTACATCAGTATGTATCAGCATATGAAGTTTAACACTAAATTTCATTAAAATTAGATCAAGGTCAAAGGAAATGCCAAGGTCAAAAACTGTTAATGCAGTTGAAAAGTATGCTTCAGGATATGAAGTTGAATAAAAATATTATAAATGGTTTCTTTAAAACTGACTAAAAACATTTCAATAAAAGTGAGGTCAAGTTCAAAAATGTTAATACAGTTGAATTGCTTACATCAGCATATATCAGCATATGAAGTTTGACACAAGTGAGGTCAAGGTCAAAGGAAAGGTCAAGGTAAAAAATGTTGATGCAGGGGCATATCACTCATCAACATGTATCAACATATGAAGTTTGATAAAAATATCTAAAATGATTTCTTTAATTAAAACTGACTTAAACACAATTTGATAAAAGTGAGGTCAAGGTCAAATAAAAGGTCAAGGTAAAAAAATCAATGCAGTTGAATTGCTTACATCAATATGTATCAGCATATGAAGTTTGACACTGATTTAGGAAATGTGAGGTCAAGATCAAAAATGTTGATCCACTTGAATTGCTCCCATCAGTATGTAACAGCATGTGAAGTTTGATAAAAAAAATCTTGAATGGTATCTTTAAAACTGAGCTAAACACTAATGAAAGATAAGTGAGGTCAAGATCAAAGGAAAGATCAAGGTCAAAAATGTTAATGCAGTTGAATTGCTTACATCAGTATGTATCCGCATATGAAGTTTGACAATGATTTAGGAAAAGTAAGGCCAAGGTCAAAGGAAAGGTCAAGGTAAAAAATGTTGATGCAGTTGCATATCTCATCAATATGTATCATCATATGAAGTTTGATAAAAATATCTAGAATGGTGTCTTTAAATTTGAGCTTAACACTAATTAAAGATAAGTGAGGTCAAGGTCAAAGGAAAGGTCAAGGTCAAAAAATGTTGATGCATTTGCATAGCTCTCATCAATATTTATCAGGTTATGAAGGTTGCTGAAAATATCTTGCATAGTTTCATTGAAACTGAGCTTTGAACAGAGCTAAACGCAAAGTGTGACGGAAGGACAGACGGAAGGACGGAAAGATGGAAGGACGGAAGACGGACATGACAAACACTATATGCCCCGGCCATATTCATGGCGGGGCATAAAAAAAGGATTCTGAACTTGAGGGAAACCAGTGAGGAATTTCGTGATGGTTTGATATATATTCGAACAGCTTTAATAACTATATAATTATCATCATTATACAGTGAATATCAGCAATGAAGAGGAGTATGTTCTTATTTATACTACAAACCTGAAAATGCCTTCCACTTCTAGTCCATTCTGTGTCAAGAAATTGACACACTGCTCCATAAGGAATGGCAATCGTCTACCAAGTTTATGTTCATAAGCCATTGTCTCCTCTAAGCTTTGTCCAAATATAGCTAAACAAAAAGGAATAAGAAAAACTTGCAACTTTTCTATTCAACATGTTCAAAAGAACAACATATTTCTGTTTTAGTAAACATTTAGATAAATTGAAAAGAATGAAATTAATTTCAAAACCATATTTCAACCCAATCAAATTAAGTTCTATAAAAGTTTCACAATTTTGACAGATGATGTTGTTTATAACTAATGTACAAATATAAGACAATGACATGAGACAATGGGTTCCTCAAACATTTTTTACACCAGAAATTATCTGAAAGATTATCCATAGTATACTTTGAGTTTCTTTTCTTTCGTCCAGAACTTACCTCCCCCAAAGGAGGAGTACATGACCTTTCTCATGTCTTTGATCCATTTCTGTCGTTCCTCGTCATTGGCTGCCCATAAGATGTAGGTTTCATGATTAGGGGCCATTTTTGCTTGCCCTTTACCTAAAATCACATGGACATTGTTTTCAAAATCATATCTGGGTACTGAAACTCAAGAGATATTTATAACTTTACAGGGGATGGAATTAAACAATAATTAAAAATTCATCAAAAATTCTATTGGAATTTATTTTAATTTCAACTCAAAATCCAACTGCATTGCATTATGCTCAAATATCAATACATGCACCAATTATGTAACAGTTTTTATTATATAGCTAATAAATAGTCTCTAATAAAATACTACCAAAAATCTAGAGAATTTTAGCGTTCAATATTTTGAGATTTTATTGAACGCTGAGTTTGAATTATTTACACAAGTATGCCCGAAAAATTCCGAATACGAGCGTTCAATATCGAATGCCCCGTTGTAAACAAAAAAAAGTTGAAATTCTCAGAGCTAAATTAATGAAATGAAGTGGCATCTAGGTACGATGTGTTTATTTTTCACACAAAATGAAATTATTTATTAAAGATTTAGTACGTATTAGACCCATTAAAACCTAAATTAAGCAAATCATATCGCTCGGAAGGGTCAACGGAATGATGCTATATTGAACGCTTACAGTAGAGACGTTAATTTGAATATCGATGCTAAAAAATCATTAATTTGACTTTTTTTAGTTGGAATAATTATATTATGATAAATTACAATGTATGTGAAAATGTTTTAGCTATATAATAAAGGAGTTATTGAACTTAATTTGGTGAATATTGGCACTCATTGGCTGTTCAAAAATGCACCCGCAAGCTCGTGCATTTGAACAGCCAACTTGTGCCAGTATTCACCAATATAAGTTCAATAAACCTATAATATACTGTTAATCTTCTCAAATAAAACCAAGTTTGTACATTTTTTAACATCATGTGCTCAATTGTAAAAGCATTTACAATTAATACCTATAAATAGACTAGGATGATAAAATTATGGAAGCTGTTACATGCACATCACCTGATGTGCAATATGTTATTTAACAATGACTATAACAAGCCATAACAAACACAGTGTCAATATTTACATTGATCATGATATTTGTTCAACATTATCACTTGTTATTGTTTTTATACAATGTTAGTTCATGCAAGCTTATTTATAAACACAGTGTATCTTTTGAAATGAAATGATCATGTTAGTAATGCGCTATTGAAGGGTTTTTGAATGAAACAGGAAGTAAATCTCAAGCAATATAACAGGTCGACATCAACACAAGCCGACTCCATATCAAAGACATTCTCTTCCTGTTTTACAAGCATCTGACCACTGGAGAGCATTCACAGTAATATAGTTGAACTTATACATAGAATGTTCATCCTCCCTCCTAATAAAAGCATTTATAGCTCCTATAACACACAAATTAGTAGATTTGAGAAATTAAATTTTAATTCATATCTTAATGTCTTGTGTTGCTTATAAGTCCAACCTCCAAATTAAATAATTTAATTATAATACATGAATAGTCATACTGCAGTTATAATTAAATGACACGGAAGTCTTTAAAAAATCTTTGTTACTATTACTGTACATGTATCCTGTTTATGTTGAATTTTTACAAAGTTAACATTTTATTTCCTCTCCGAGTAAAATCATATTGCTAAATGATTAACAATGGAAATTCAATTTTAATAAAAGCTCAAGTATACAATTTTACGAGGGGTTATCAAAAAGTTCGTGGACTAGCGTCATAAAATTAAAACCGCTTTAGGCACATCAATGAATTTTAGAATATCTAGTTAGCATCATCTTTTCTATCTAAAGAATAAACCATAAATCATTAATTTTATTTTTTAATAAATAAGCAATGTTTTTGTAACCAATGGTATGTCCAGGCGGCGCAACTTCGAACACAACTTTTTTGCGACCTATGTGTAACTGAGAAAAACTCTTTTGATATGATCATTTGAAATCCAAATATCCCGTTAATTCAGGTATGTGTCGGGACACAATTGTTCCATAAAATATGAAATTTTCACTTCATTCTGGAAAATCTATGAAATTTTATCGTAAATTTTACACGGAATGTCCAAACAAATGAGGCCTTGAAAATGACGTCAAAAGGGGGGAGGGTTTCCGTTTCCAACATTCTATAAAGTTTTGCCACTGAAATAATTGGTATAGACCTAAAATATGTTGAAACTGGCTACAGAGAAATAATATGCATCCAGAGCACTCGTCTTTCAATGTCAAAATAGATTCAGAGAGAAAAGGGATACACAGTTAATTTCGATCTGCAGTCAAGGTGTGAAAAATCAATCACGTCAAAAAATGACGTTGATCATGCGTTGTAGATATTGAACTCCCAAAAGCAATATATGCCGGCACAATCAAGCGCGGATCTCTTCCAATGTTTTAATCCATTTGGAATAATTTATGCATTGAAGGCCACTGTTCATGACATTGTAAAGTCATATAAACAAGACGGGTTTAAGTCCTTACTCAGCTCTAGGGAATCTCATCAAAATAAGTGTATGAGGTAGAAGAAGCCGACATTGAAAAAACAATGACATTATCGGACGTCATGAAAATAAACGACGACAGCGCCGGGTGATCATATAATGTAGTTTATATTTTATAATAATTTCGCAAATAATGAACGTATCAGGCTAAAATTTTCAACATTTCTTTATTTTTTGTTGTTTTATGTTCAATATAAATTTTGAAAGCACAAACTACATAGTACTAATTTTATAGACTCAGTCCACGAACTTTTTGATAACCCCTCGTAGATCATAAAAACTTAATGAATTACCTCTGACTGTAAAGCGGAACAATTTAATAAACATCATGAACTTAAAAAAAAAAAAAGAAAAAAAAAGTTTTTTTCCTCTTTCAGTAAGGTATGTCCCATAACCTTCAGCATGGGCAGAAAATTCGTAATTGAAAAATATTCTTCAAACACTTGTTAACAATGGAGAGATCTTTTGTAAAAGAGAGAGAAAGATCTGAGAGAAAAAAGCAAGTTATACTGAAATGTGATTACTTCACCTGGGTCATCCATTAAAGACACTTCTAGTAACAAGAATAAATGATTCCAAAAAAAGGATAAATACAAAAGATTTTATTTATATCTATGAATAACATACAAATATTTACAGTTTATGGTTTTAAATGAATTTGAATTGAATGATTTTGATTGCTGTAGGTTTATTACCCGGTACATAAAGTTGAAAGCATTTACTTCAATAATCTATTTGAATTTCTTATTTAAAATTTTACATTTTTTATTATTTGTATCTTAATACTGATAAATGAAGATGAAAATTTTCTAGTAATTTGGAATGATTGTGAAATAAAAAAATAATTTTTGCAGATGCTTAATGTGATAAATATCTAATATTCATACACACAAAATCTAAATCTTTTTGCATCACAATGAATATACAGAAACTAAATATGGAAAGGGTTACATGTATCACTTTATTGGCAAAGAATGGCTTATTTATCTTACCTGCACTAATCTCAAACAAACATTTCTCTGGATCATCCGGGTTAAACGGAATCTCAGACACCCTGTTTCCCGGGAGGAATATGCACCCCAGGGGGCGGGAATCATCCTCTTTGGCGAAGTAGAAGAGGAAGTCATTGTTGAGACAGAACCATCGTCGATGCCAAGTCCTGACCATTCCCCCTTGCTTCTTCAGCCAACCACATCTTATGATTCGCTGACGTTGGACTGCATTCATGGTTTTTTCTGCATTCAGAAACAAATTAATTTTACAATAAGCAAAATTCTTGAACATGAATTTTTCAAGCATGGTGATTCATACCTAACTATTTCTGTTTCCTTTTTACATAAAAACCCAACATATACCTTTTCAAATATGGAAAATTAGTATTGATTTTGACAATTCATTGATGTTTCAAGGAAAATTAGAGAATTCTTCCTTATCCATTCTTTTGCTGAGACCTTGTTTGGCTGAATTAACTTGAATAAAGTGTGCTATTCGTCTAACACCTATATATCAAATAATCGAATTAATATCGATTTACTGATAAAAAAAGATAATAATATAAGAATAATGTCAGTTCTGCATCATAAATTTAAAGATGAATATACCTGTTTTTGGCAGAGATGTAATTCTCTTGTGTTGTTTATATCAAAAAGCTAATTTGCAATGAATAAACAGTGACAGCTGAATCTTCATTTGACATATAATCCATGTTTATTCAAATAAAAAAAATCAATGTTGCCAACTATAAATGGATATAATCTTATTACAAGAGGCCCAGGGGCCACATCGCTCACCTGAGCAAATCAGCTAGGAAAAAACACAAATCAGATCAGAACTGAAAAGTTTACTGAAGGGGGGGGGGGGGGGGGGGCTTGAATTTAATACTACTTTAGAATGCCTTCATATTAATACAGCATATGACTTTGCTGTTCTTGATAAAAAGATTTTTTAAAAACATTTTCTTCCTATACTATCACTAATCATTGCTTTAAAGTACTTTAGAAGATGATTTTTATAAAGATTTTTCCCCATATATTCCTATGCAAACCTTTGATTAGCCATTGAGGCCCCATCCTACCCCCGGGGGGGTCATGATTTGAACGAACTTGAATCTACACTACCTGAGGATGCTTCCACATGAGTTTCATCTTTCCTGGCCCACTGGTTCTTGAGAAGAAGATTTTCCCTATATATTCATATGTAAAACTTTGATCGGCCATTGTGGCCGCGCCCTACGCCCGGGGATCATGATTTGAACAAACTTGAATCTAACTCTACCTGAGGATGCTTCCACATGAGTTTCATCTTTCCTGGCCCAGTGGTTCTTGAGAAGAAGATTTTAAAATATTTTCCCTATATACTCCTATGTAAAACTTTTATCGGCCATTGTGGCCCCATCCTACCCCTGGGGGTCATGATTTAAACAAATCTGAATCTACACTTTCTGGGGATGCTTCCACATGAGTTTCATCTTCCCTGGCCCAGTGGTTCTTGAGAAGAAGATTTTTAAAGATTTTCCCTATATACTCCTATGTAAAACTTTGATCGACCATTGTGGCCCCACCCTATCCCTGGGGGTCATGCTTTGAACAAAATTGAATCTACACTATCTGAGGATGCTTCCACATGAGTTTCATCTTTCCTAGCCCAGTGGTTCTTGAGAAGAAGATTTTTAAAGATTTTCCCTATATACTCTTATGTAAAACTTTGATCGGCCATTGTGGCCCCACCCTACCCCCGGGGGTCATGCTTTGAACAAATTTGAATCTACACTACCTGAGAATGCTTCCACATGAGTTTCACCTTTCTTGGCCCATTGGTTCTTGAGAAGAAGATTTTTTAAAAATGATATGAATTTTCCACTCATTCATAATTATCTCCCATAATTATCCCCTTCTCCTAAAGATACTTTGTGGCAAGTATGGTTGAAATTGGCCCAGTCTTGAGAAGAAGATGAAAATGTGAAAAGTTTATGACAACGACAACGACGACGACAACAACTATGACAAAGACAGACAATGGACAAATTTTGATCAGAAAAAACTTGAATCCCCTTCTCATGATTATTGTAACTGATTAAAGATACTTTGTGGCAAGTAAACATGCTATCTTTTCCAAACAGTACCGTGAAAAGTTTTTTGGCCCATGGTGAAATAGTTATCAAACTATTCACCGGCAGCATTCTGTTTCCCTCATTTATCATCTCGGAAAATATATGATTTTATAGGAATTGTGACATACATATTATGACGTTACAAAACACGTGCAAAAGTAAAGTCAGCATCGGTACAATAAAACACTTATTTACTGACTATTCGGACAATAGATCACTTAAACTTAGTTTGGGTTTCGAGTTCAGGTTCTCGCATGGCTCTTTACAATGGCCCTTATTTGTATTTGGATGTCATGACCATGCCATGGGAGACAAAGATGGGAAAAGTGTCTGGATTGGTATCTGTAAAAGTTAATAAAGTTCTAAAGGTGAAGATATATATAGTATTCAAGCAGGTTTATTCACTGTTGGAAAGATACATGGGGTTGGAAAAGTAACTTTTTATACGCCCGTCTTAAGACGGGACGTATTATGTTATAGGCTTCGTGTCCGTCCGTCTGTCCGTCTGTTCGCTTTTCTTGTGTCCGGCTCATAACTTTAATACTATAAGGCCTAGAGTTATCAATAGGAATTAGAAGGTGTGACTATAATTAAAAAGTTATAGCCAAATATGGAAAAATTAATAGAAAACTATTAGACTTAGGATCATCAAACTTGGCCAGTTTATGCATCTTAGGTCGACCTATTTCAAGGTCACTGTGACCTTTAATTTAAGTGGAATTTAAAAAAAAAAATGTCTTTTTTTCTATTCATTTACACATTCAAAAAAATGTAAAACTATTGCACTCACCTTATTAGAAAAATGTTAAATCAAGAAAATACTTATTGTTTTTAGCATATACTTGACAGCAATCTATAACAAATATAATGTATGTTAGAGAAATTCCACCATCGGTACAATAAAACAGAAAATTGCATGTCAAATTAGAGAGAGAAATTAATGAGTTTAGTGTGAGGAGTACTAGCATCGGGACTAATAGATCACTTAAAAAACTTAGTTTGGGAATTTGATGAGAAGTTCTAATTTGATATTGCAAATTCTATTTTGATATTACATAATATTATGAACTTAAAAATTAATTTTATGGCTCATATTAACAATTAATGTCTGCTAAAAAAAAAATCATTGATGTTTTGTATGTTTTAATGTTTTATGGTAGATAGTGCAGATCCTTATCCAGTTAAAGTATTTGGATGTCATGACCATGCCATGGGAACAAAGAGGAAAAGTGTCTGGGCCTTTTATTTCCAAAATTAATTAGGTATTGATTAAGTTGTGTAAATAGTAATATGATAGGCAAAGTTCTAAAGGTGCAATAATATATATAGATAAACAAATTTTTTTAAGGTGTGTAAAAATTTTCTTAAAAGCAGGTTTATTCTTTTAACTGTTTAAGATACATTGTAATTGTAATTTTTTGACGGGCGTATCATGCTGTGGAAAAGTAACTTTTTTAGAGTTGTGGGACCAAAGTAAGTTAATTTAATCTTGGTCTGGTCCAGTTGAGTCGATCTAATTTGACTGGGTCTGGTGCACATTTTCCCTTCCCCTGTTTAACTATATCTGATTGCCAATCACTGCTCTGGCAAGACAACTTTGGACAAAATAATCTGAATATTATTAAACATTCTTCCAGATTAAAATTAAAAAAACATAAAAATTTCACATTTTAAATGAAAAATGGAGAAGGGGGTTCATGATTGCATCGCCTAACATATTTAAAGCAATAAAAATTCCGTAAATCACGTACCTGCTGAATTATGTTTAATAGCGAGCGTCGCAAAGCGAGCTCAATTAGTCAATAGACTAACGTGTAAGAACAGAGGAAATTCGGAATTGTACATACGTCAAGAAAATTTTGTTGTGAAACATTCCCAGAATTCCTGCACTACCCAATGTCCTTTGCGCGAATATTGCCAAATAAATAAATAAATAATAACGTAAAGCATATATCAGGCTTTCAGTTTGTAGAAATCTTTCAAAGAAACAAGAAATAACTCTGCAATGTTTTTCGACAAAAATTGCACTAGTTCTACAGTTTCAAACAGATGCTCGGCTGTCTCCGTAAGCTCCGACGAACTTTGTGACATCGTATGACGTCAACAGCTGGTCGCGATGTCTCGTGCGGCTTGACGTTTGAAGTGGCTGATTTTCTCAAGTGTTTTTGATGGTACAACTGCGCTCGCCCCAACGGTCACACCGTAAAACATATCATTGACAACAAACACAGTAAAGACAATAAAATGACTTGTGTATTATCAGTAGGATATATGAAGCTGTACACACAGATTAGGGCTGTGTATTGAGCCAAAAATTTCGATACGATATGATACAATATTTTTTAAAGCGATATGCGATATATTGGATTCTAAGACAAGTCCATTAGAAAGGGCTTCTAAATCATTTTAATGCTTAAATTTCATAACAATTAAGTGTTTTATTACCCATTTTAAAGTTTTTGTCTCATTGTCTTTACAAATAACACTTTAAACTAAAATTTTGATGACAGTAAAAGCAACATGTTCAAATAATTTTTTCTTTGTACTTTGTAATAATTATGAAAACTGTGCTATTTTCTTACAAATTATATCATTATTGAACAGTTTTAATTCAAAAAAGTAAAATATAATCTTTGGTGATTGAATCTCCCATCTTTTTAACAGAATTATACGAAAAAATGTCTGTCCGATATACGTATTGGAAGTTATTTTACGATACGATATTTTTCTTGAATATCGATACGTATCGATATATCGATATATTGATACAGCCCTAACACAGATGGTGTGAATATATTGCCCCTCAGGGTAATGCCCCGGTATTCAACTGAGAAAAAAATGAGGATGTCTGACATGCTAATTAATACTTTTAATCCCTTCATTATCAAATTTAAAAGTAATTGAACATTGAAGTCATGTTTAAATCTCTATTAAATTTTTATAGAGTGTATGGAAACTATGTGCATATTTGCTTAACATGCCATAAACTAATAAATAAATGATGTCTATAAACATCATCAGATAAGCAAGATTTTGGCAGTTTAGAGGCAGGATGTCACACGCGGAAGTTGAGGAAAAAAAACAAGATGAACGGCAATTAGCCAAAAAAATTACGACAGTCCTTCGCAACCGTACTACTTAAAAATACTGTTAGTTCAAAAAAGAAAATGGCACAGACCTTGTAAGCTTTACATCACGGGTTGTCGGCTTTCTGCTCTTTTATTTACAACCGTTCTTTCCATTTATTGACACTTCCTGTGTGTGCACAGGTTTCCGTGACGTTTCAAATTGAGAAACAAATTATTTTCTAACACAAATCAAAAAATGAATATTGTGCAATTTCCATTGTGGAATATTCACAAAACTATGCACACGAATGGGAAATTAGAATTGTGTAATTTAAATCTCGGCACATCGATAATTTATTTTCCTCAAAATCAATGACGTCACACACATCAAAATAGAAAGAAGAGATCAACAAATCCCGGCATTAGGTAAATTTCTTTCTGTCCTTCTTAAATGGTGAAATTTTAAGACTTTATTGTTAGAATCTTTTACAAAAATGTCACACCCATGGCATAAAAGATGAAAATTGTGATAACAAGTGTTGATAATCATAAAAATAAGATAACAAGCCGTGATCTGATTTTTGAAATGTCAATAAAAATGAAGAATATTGAATGTGTATTATCTCTGGAATATTAAGAAATTAAAGCAACGTATGATTTTTTTGACCTGTTTAGCGTAGGTGGTTAGAATCGCTCATAAATCATCATGTCGACTTGGGTTGGTTCCATGAAATTATCCAATATTCTGCCAATTAACATTTTGTCATGTTTTGTAAGATGGCAGTTGTACCATAAAATTGTAAAAAGAAGTGAATGACATATGTAAGGAAATAAAACTTTTGAAATCCCAATTTTAACATCCCTAGAGTGCATGATAGGCAAGTTTAATTTAAAAGATAGTGCCAGTTCCTCTGCTCGTAATTTCCCTTTGTCAAAAGTTGAAACTTATGATACAGTAGGCTGTATCTTCATTTGTGCTTGTTTATGCAAGACCGTCTGCTTCCAAAAAAAGTATTTCACATATATATTATTATAACAGTAACTTGATCCGAAGGGTCGTATCACGTCGAGTTGACAGGCGCGGATCATCAGATCTAACGAGACGCGAAGCGTCGAGTTTGATCTGATGATCCGCGCCTGTCAACGAGACGTGATACGGCTCTTCGGATCAAGTTACTGTTATAATGATAGATTTATTATATACCCCCTTATAACTACTTAAATATAGCAGAATAAAACTTTAGAGATCAATTGTATAATATTTATCAATAAAACAAAGCATAATAACAAGGGACTTTTTAACGCGCAAGAAAAATAACGTCATGTTTTTGCGTACTACGTCATCAGTTTCAGAGAGTGGTGATATGGATTCGGAAAACCACAGCGTGGTGATCCAGAAAATCGGATCAAGCTCTGTAAAATTAACAGTAACAAAACAAGGAAATTGATGGGTATATAATAAACATTTGTATATGATTAAAGGTAATATAACCAATATGTTAAGGTTTGTTTGCTCATATAGCAAATAACTATCTTGGATTATAACTAGTGATTCAGCGATAGTCGCCGACGATCGAAAAATCGTCGTCGGAAGCTAGGCGATGCCGACAATCGATAGCTTAACAGCAAAATCGATTGTCGCTCTATATATAGATACTTTAAACATAATGCTAAATCTTAACAATTATTGTATTTTTTCGTGTTTTGCACCTTTTTTCTCTTGTACAAAGATGGTACTTTGATTATTTTTAAGCATCTTCCATGTGCACACAAGTTCCTGACCATTGTCTGTACTAAACGGTGCTTGTAACCTTTGGTAACTGAGTCAGCAAAAAATTCGTAAACATGCTTAGAAAATAATACATTGTAATTATGGCTTAATCTAAATAATATTCCCTTCCATCAGACATAATTCATATAGGCAGCAAAATAATTAATGACTAAATATAACCATTAAGAGCACCACTTAAAAAAATCGTCTTTTAACCTGAATTTCCTCTGTTCTAATATGAAACGATATTTTCTACTCTCCACTCAAATTTTATGTATTATTTTTTGTAGTATAAATATTAAGAGGCCAGTCAGAAGATAAACACTATGATACCATTTTTTTTAATCATATATAAGGAATTCAAAAGAAGTAGTGTTATTTTTATTGTGCATTCCCATTCAAATGTGAACATTTATGAAGGTAGACAACTTGCTGAACTTTTACTTTAATTTTTTTCCTAATGTATACATGTAGGAATAAAATTTTAATGAAAATTATCATCTTTTAAAAATCAAAACCTTTAATCAAAATTTTCAACGTGTTAAACTGATCAATATAGTTAATATTTATAAACAATTTAAATGTTATTTAAAAAAATGAAACATATAATTGTCTGCAAGTTATCAGTTTCATAATTTTATATATACATGTACTATTAAAATTATTTTTCTTTGATATTTAAAAAAGTGTTATCCTTTCCTTTAATAATTGTAGAAAATTGCCATATTCATTAAATCTGAAATATTGGCCTATGTGTTCTTTACTGCAGTTCTGATTAATAACCCGTATAAAGTAAGGCCTTTCATAATGTAAAAGAAGAAACATGAAAAATGTCCGATTATTTTCGATTATTAATCGAAACGGTGTTTCCGATTCGATTCGATAATCGATTGTATTTTTCTTCCGATTCTGAAACACTAATTATAACTATAAATGAGAAATGTCACTTTCTAACATTAGTCCATTAGTCTCAGACTAGTACATTTTCATTCAGACTGATAAAAATTGTAGCTAATTAGTCCGAACGGACTACTGAAGTTTTCTGGGGGAAAAAAAAAGAATTTACCGATGTTCAAATTTTCGTCAACTTTCATTGGAAAACCCCGTATTTATTTTTAGCTTCTTGGCGGGAAGTTAGGTAATTCTGAGTCAATTCAGTGCATAATTTTATAGACTGGCAGTTCCTGTCTCGTTTTAGGACTCATTGGTATGAAATTAAACATTTTAGCGATCATGATTTAGTATGACACATAAAGAAAGATGTCAGATGTTTTGATGATGTAATCATGTATAGAGAAAAACGAATGAGATCGGGAATATGATCGTAGTTCCTGATTGTGCGATTTCAACGAATTCTTGGTATAAACATTTCATGTAAATGCTTTGTTTATTTCAAAAAAAGTATAAAAAGTACATTGCAACATTAATTCTATTTATTTTTTTTTTAATTTTTGACGGACTCATAAAATTGCCTGCGGACTAGTAAAAGTAAAGAAGCACTAGTTCGGCCAGACCAAAGCCTAAAAATGTTAGTGTCGAACCCTGAATGCATGGCCTTGTATCACAGGTGGTGAAAAATCAAGTCTCAATCAAGATTTCAACCCAGGCACTCTGGCTTACTGTAGCAGCACTTTAATCATTAAGCTATTGAGATGCTATCTATATTGAAGAAATTTGTCTTCAAATTCTAAAGATTATGGAAATGCTGTGAGGCATGTACCAATGCAACAGTAGATATTTGTTCATTTGATGCCAAATGTCACTGTTGTTTAAAAAAAGTCTCAACCAGGACTCCAAACCAGGGCCTCTAGCTGCCAGGCATACTATTCCAGCAATCTAACCACTACCTGCAGAGATTCAATGTACATGTACTAAATGATTTATTTGTCTTAAATTAGATACTTGACTTCCGGGGGTGGGGTGGAGGGTAGGAGGTTAACATCATCCATTCGTAACAGAAAAATATCAGATATCAAAACATAAAAATGATAGACTAGGAAATCATGTATTTTTTATAAGTTTTTGTGTCCAATAAAAATTTTCAGAAGCTGAGGGAGGGGGGAAGGGGTTACACCATCCATTCTTCAGGTGTCTGTGCTTTTTTGACCAAGTTTGTTTTTAAAAAAAATTATGGCAATGAGGTTTAGAGCATGTAGAGAGGGCAAAATTTGTTTATTCTTTAATATCTTCCATATTTGTGCTGAAATGCATTACAGATTGTGTCTTTGTTAAAGCAAAGCAATGGCTATTCAAGTCTGTCATTGTCTTAAAATCAATATAGTAATTGTCACAGTGTCTGAAATTATCCCATTTGATTGCCAACTAAATGGAAGAATCTGAGAGAAGAAGAAAAATTGAAGTTCTTTAATAATTTATCTTTTTACTTTATTGCTTGTTTTACATTGATTAAAAACTATTGTAAATGAGCAGAGAGCATGATGAAACAATTCTTTCTGTGTTTAGAGTATAACAAAGAAATTGTAACTGTAATACATGTTCAACCTATAAAATTCATTTATTCTTTAAAAATGTTTAAAGTAATTTATAAATTCACAGTTTTGAAGGATTAGAATGAACACTTACACCTGACATTTCACCTTTTATTTAATTTTAAAAAGATAAAACTTGGCAGGCAAATTGATTTAAAGAATAGATATTTTTTAAGATATTTATTATCACAATAACTTTTTGGAAACTTTTTTAACATGATATTTGCTAAGTAGGATTTAAAACAAGAAGTTGGAGATTATTGTTCCCCAAACGAAGTTGGGGAACATATTGTTTTTACTCTGTTTCTTATTATTATTATGTTCCCCAAACGAAGTTGGGGAACATATAATTTTGTTTCTTATTATTATTATTTTTCTTCTTCTTCTTCTTCCTGGGTACTTTTTTTCCGGGAAGCAAACTATACATCCGACCAAGGTGAAATGTTTTTAGGGTCAGTAGACATGTTATGTAGAGAGAATGAAGGTCATTGCGCGCACGTGCTTGCAAGAGCGTGCACGTGCAACATGTGAAATGGCCGATTTAATTGATATAGGCGTAACTTTTTAAATTTTTGATGAAATGCTTTGAAACTTATAATATAAGGATATATTAGTAGCATAGACAATATGACATGGTCAAAATAGCAAGATCTCACGTGCATGCACGTGCATTTTGCTCTGATTGGCTGAAACTAAAGTCTCAATATCTTTCTTGTTTTTTGATGAAATCCTTAGAAATTTTGAAAATAGCCATGCATTAGGATATCCTACAACATGATATATAGCAATTATCATGAAAACACGTGCATGCACGTGCGCTGCAATCTGATTGGCTTAAACTTTAAATAACTATAACTCCCTTAATTTTCAACCAAACAGGATGAGATTTGGAACATAGATAGATATATTTGACTACAACAAAAAAATATCACCATGCACATACATACACGTGCATGTACTTGCGCTGCAATCTGATTGGTTGAAACTTTAAACAACTATAACTCCCTTGGTTTTCAACCAAACGGGATGGGATTTGTACAAAGATAGATGTAACGGAAAGGTATGGTCATTATGCTCATGCATGCACGTGCGAGCACGTATGCGCACGTGAAATGAGCAAAATAAAAAACACTTGAATGAGCTAACTTTTTAAAACTTTTGGATTAAATACTTTAATGTTTAGTATATTAAAATATATAGATTGTGTAGACAAGATGATATGGTCATTACGCACATGCATTCACATGCGCACGCGTGCAATGCTAAAATTTGAATGAACTTTCTACACTTCTTAATAAACGTTGTTAAAGTTTCAAAGGCAACGAGTTTGTCTTATTTATGAAAATATGGCACCAAAAGGGAATTTCATACAATTAGCACTAGTTAATTCTTATTATTATTTTTCTTCCTGGGAAAATTTTGTCCGCGAGTGATCTTGTAAACTACACATCCGACTTAGGTATACCTTTTTAGGGTAAGTAGGCATGTTATGTAGATTTGTGATCAAGGTCATTTTGCGCGCACGTGCTTGCAAGAGCGCGGGCAAAACTTAAATTGACCAATATAAAATGGATATAACCGTAACTTTTCTATTTTGTGACGAAACGTTTTGAAACTTATAATGTAAGGATATATTAGTAGTAAGCACAAGATGACATGGTCAGAATAGCAAGATTGCACGCGCATGCACGTGCGCTTTGCTCTGATTGGCTGAAACTAAAGTCTCAATATCTTTTTTGTTTTTTGAGAAAATCATTTGAAATTTTGAACATAGTCATATATTAGGGAGATCTACAGCCTGTATTATAAGATTTATCATGAAAGCATGTGCATGCACATGTGCTTAATCGCACGTGCAACACGAGAAATGTCAAATATCATTGATACATACGTAACTATTTAAATTATTGATGAAATGCTTTGAAACTCATATTAAAAGTATATATTAGAAGCATAGACAAAATGACATGGTCAAAAAAAAGACGCGCATGCACGTGCGCTTCGCTTGATTGGCTGAAACTAAAGTTTCAATATCTTTCTTGTTTCTTGTCATAATCCTTTGAAATTTTGAACATAGACCTACATTATGAAGATCTACAGCATGATGTATAAGAATTTTCATGAAAGCATGCGCATGCCCGTGTGCTGCAATCTGATTGGCTGAAACTTTAAATGGCTGTATCTCCTTTGACGAAATGCTTTGAAATTTAAAATATAGTCATGCATTAGGATATCCTACAATATGATATAGAAAAAAAATCATGAAATCATGCGCATGCAGATGCGCTGCAATCTGATTGGCTTAAACTTGAAATGGCTAAAACTCTCTTGTTTTTCAACCAAACAGGATGGGATTAGAACATAGATAGATATAAGGGACTCCTACAAGAAGGTATGGTCATCATGCACGTGCACGCAGCTGCGTGCATTTGGAACGAGTGAAATAAAAATACATTTGAAAGAGTGATTTTTCATACTTTTGGACCGAATGCTTTAATATATTGTATATTTAAATATGTAGATAATGTAGACAAGATGATATGATTATAACGCACATGCATTAACATGCGCACGGGTGCAATGCTAAAATTTGAATATAATTGGTATCCTTCTGAGAAAACGTTGTTAAAGTCAAAAATGCACAGAGTTTGTCTTATTTAATTAAGCTTACAGGGAATATGGCACAAAAAAAGGAGTTGGGGAGCGTTTGGGGAACATCTGTAACAGTTCCCGTTACAATTAGCACTAGTTGCCATTGATTTTCCTTGGGCAGCATAATTTTATTCAATTGATTTGCCCATTTGAAGAGCACAAATTATAAGAATTCAGACCTTTCCAAGAAAAGAATTGCCATACAATAAATGTTGAACATTCAGCATTTCAAAGATGGCATGATGAATGGAAATGAAAAATTCTTCCCCATGTTAAATATTTATACATGTACAGTTCATATAATTTTTATTTCAGTATATTTTTAAACAATATTGACTATATTTACATGAATTGCATTAAAAGGTTGTGGCTTGTAAAAGTGATGTGAAATTGTGAAGCAGAACTAATTAAAAGTCATCCATACCAGTCAACTTTTGTGAAATTTACATGCAGATGCATTTAATTCTGGTAAGATACTTTACTACTGAATTTTGCCATCAACTCAATTCAGACTTCTCTGATTTATAAAATAATTTCATATGAAAATTTACCTCCAGTTTCTGTCCATGAGTTAAGACTGTATATATCAGAAGATGTCCTTATTTGTGACAGGCATGGGCCCATGGAAGAGGGTATACTGTGCTGATAGTCTAAAAAATAAAGGAGGGGGAAATACAATACCTCTCATTTTCAAGACATAATCTACAATATGTTTTAACTGCATATAGAATTAGGCTTTTAATAGTGGTGTTATGACTAGGAGTATTTTGTAAAAAAATAAATGTTCTAAACATTAAAGAGAAGTGCTGTTGAGGAAAAATACTACAATGTACTGTACACTGGTTTCTATGAATGCAATGTTAGATACATATTAAAAAAATTTTGATTCTTGTCTGTATGCAAACAATGCTAATTTTTCTGTTTAGATGGATACCAAGGAAAACTAACAGAATCATAATGAGTGAGACAGCCTCCAACACGTACCACACTGTGGAGGTGGGGGATTCCACATTTGACATTCTAGAACGTTACAGTAATCTCAAACCTATAGGATCTGGTGCTCAGGGAATTGTTTGGTAAGTTACAGGAGATTTCCACTGTCTAGAATACTACAGTAATCTCAAACCTATAGGATCTGGTGAATCACCAATCAGGGTATTGTTTGGTAAGATATAGGGGATTTCCACTTTCTAGAATATCACAGTAATCTCAAACCTATAGGATCTGGTGAATCACCAATCAGGGAATTGTTTGGTAAGTTACAGGGGATTTCCACTTTCTAGAATATCACAGTAATCTCAAACCTATAGGATCAAGTGCCCAGGGAATTGTTTGGTAAGTTATGGGGTATTTCCACTTTCTAGAACGCTACAATAATCTCAAACCTATAGGATCAAGTGCCCAGGGTACTGATTGGTAAGTTATAGGAGATTTCCACTTTCTAGAACACTACAGTAATCTGAAACCTATAGGATCTGTTGCCCAGGGAATTGTTTGGTAAGTTATAGGGGATTCCAATTTCTAGAATGCTATAGTAGTTTCGAACCTCTAGGTTTCCCTGCTTAGCGAACTGTTTGGTAGGTTTACATGGTTAAAGGGGATTCCACATTCTAGAATGCTAAAATACCTGGAAATACCAAACCTAAAGGATATTGTGTTCAGAATTGTTTGGTAAATTACCGAGAGGAAATCCATGTGCCGTCTAAGTTTTATAGTATAGGTCATTTTTCGGTTAAAGTACAGAATAAAATCCTTCCCTGTATACTAAAATAAAATTAATAATGATATATGTATGTATCATGACAGTAAAGATACAGTTGGTATAGACTAACTTAGTTATAGGAAGTGATATGGTGCGGGCTTTGTTACTATGAACTTTTCAGTTTCACAGTGTATTAAGTGTGCTTCCTTTAAAAATATATGAAAATTAATCGGCAGGTAAATTTTGGTTTCATCAACAAATCCTTATATAAATACCAGATTGAACTTGACGTTTTGCATAAATATTAAATTATAATGCTGTGTGCTCAGTGTAACTTTAATATTTGGCATTTCTTAGAAATGAAATATTTGCAGCATGAAGCTTAAAAAAATAAATTATTCAAAAGATGGCAGAGAATAAAACTGCTTTAACTGTGTTTGAAGGGAAATTATAAAAGTTGAAGTCTGAATTTCTGTTTAATGGAAAGCATTATATCATAATTTTCCTGTTCTGAGTCATGCATAAAATTAATTTGATATGAACGATTTTTATAAAAAGCCATGAATAGCATCACACTTACAAATGATATTTAATTTCAACATATCTAAATGATCATAGTCATAAATAAATAACTTGTGTTGAATATGAGTTCTGTGAATCCACTCATCAGATTAACAGTCAATGAGAAAAAGTTATAACAAAGAGAATAAGCACTTACAGTTTTGGCCCAAAAACCTCCGGGTTACAGGAAGCAGGAATATGGCTTTTCGTGGTGCTAGGTTCTGGGAAGAGGATAAGGACATTAAATTGATTTTGTTTAATTAATCAGATCTGATGTTAATTGTGTCAACCTGTACACAGAGAATCTGTACTATTATACATTATAACTATAAACAGTCATACAGTTTTGTTTAAGTACACTTAAACTTATTTGACTGACTTCATAGACTGATACTTTATGAGGGTGATTCCTAATTCAAGTTTTCGGTTTGGAAACACAGTCAACATTAAATGAGATTTTCTGTCATTGTTTTATTAGGCCCAAATTTGTGCATCATTTCTTTCACATTGATTCTTGTACATCAAGTTAAATTATACATATTTTCTAGGCTGAGCTAATATTTGTGTATCATCGTTAATGATATAATTGTTAAATTTTTATTTTCAGTGCTGCCTATGATGCTGTTACTGGGCAGAATGTTGCCATTAAAAAACTTAGCCGTCCTTTCCAAAATGTCACCCATGCTAAACGAGCATATAGGGAATTTGTGTTAATGAAGTTAGTCAACCATAAAAATGTAAGTTCAAGTATTTTTGAAAAGTAATATTAGAATTCTGCTTTGATTTGCATGTATATTTACATAAACAATACAAGTTAAAAAAAAATTGATAACTCTTTACAGATTATTGGATTATTAAATGCATTCACACCACAGAAATCTCTGGAGGAGTTTCAAGATGTGTAAGTGTTTTATTCTCAGTGATTTCCTCTATTCAATACATTATACTTATCATGTGTACATTAAATACTTTAAGAACTCTCTAGGTCTCAAGGATAAAATATTGAGTTAAAAATAGAGTGAATGAAACAATAATGTTATTACTATGTCTACTTAAAACAGATATCTAGTGATGGAGTTGATGGATGCTAATCTGTGCCAAGTCATCAACATGGATCTAGACCATGAGAGAATGTCCTATTTGTTGTATCAAATGTTGTGTGGTATTAAGCATCTGCATTCAGCAGGCATTATACACAGGGTGAGTGGTGTGATTCGTGTTCAGATATATAAAATGTGCTACTATTCATTCCACATTCAATTTACATTAGAATTTTGATATCATGAACATAGATATCTTGAATACCATGGCTGTTTCGAAGTATTTTCAAAGTCCAACCACTTACTTTAAAAGTATTTTACCCTTGATATCTGGGATCTTGACTTCAGATATATTTCTCCGTCACATCTAGTTCGAAACAACAAGAATTGACTGTGTTTGTACAGATGTAGAAAAATGTATGCAGCAATTAATTTACTGCAAGATATTTTGTTATTCATGATATACATTTCTGTGGAATAAAATTTTTACACATTTTTTTTTTGCAGGATCTGAAACCAAGCAATATTGTTGTAAAATCAGACTGCACTTTGAAAATCCTGGACTTTGGCTTGGCACGAACGCAGGGTACAGGTTTCATGATGACACCCTATGTAGTAACTCGTTATTACAGAGCTCCCGAGGTCATCCTAGGAATGGGATACACAGACAATGGTAAGGTTTATTTAAAGTAGAATTGACAACAATTATTTTGGGTTTTAATTTATTTTTATGATATATCTAGTATGTAAAATTTTGACAATACATATACAACCATAATAGGGTCATTGCACAAAGACTTACATGTACTTTTACATCTTGTTTTAAAAAGCTTTAATATGGATTGATTTACATGTAGTTGTATTTGTATCATGTTTCAGTGGACATATGGAGTGTGGGGTGTATCATGGCAGAACTCATAAGAGGAGCTGTCATGTTTCCTGGAAGTGATCGTATCCTCTAACTTTTAGCTATAAAACAAGATAAGTTTTATCTGATGCCCTAATATGGAAGCTTAAAGTTTCTCAAATGCAAGTCAAACTCCAATGTCAAGGTCAAAATTTTTTGTATCTTAATAAAGGTCTTTTCACAAGGAATACACCTGTAAAGTATGAAAGCCCTAGCACTATCTGTTCAAAAGTTATGGCAAAGGTTAATTTTTTTTAATGGGTCAAACTCGAAGGTCAAGGTCAAAAATATTTACACCTTATGAAAGGTCTTGTCACTGTGAATACACATGTGAAATATGAAAGCAATTGCACCAACAGTTCAAAAGTTATAGCCAAGGTTATAGTTTGGAAATTTTTGGTAATAGATTTAATGGTACCCCAAAAAAGGTCTTGTCATAAGGAATACATCTGTGAAATATGGAAGCTATAGCCCCATGCATTTAAAAGTAATTTGCAAGGATAAAGTTTTTGCAGAAAAACAGACAGACAGATGGACAGACAGGACAAAAACTATATACCCCCTAATCTTCAATAAAAGGGCATAAAAATAAAAGAATGGGCTTTATTCAAAAGATTATTAGAATATTTCATTGTCTTTAGGACAGTGAATCAAAACTCTCATTGCTGAAAATGTTTTGAAAAGAAATTGGTTACACGTCTTTTAAACTTAAATGAATGCACATAATAGTATCTTTCCACAATAATGTCAATTAATTCTTAGTGGAGGAGTACTAAAAGGCTCATAAATTAATGCTAAGCATACAAAACAAGTACTGTGGTTTTAGTAAAAATGGAAAGTATTTCTTTAATAATGAAATAGATATTGATCAATGGAACAAGATAATTGAACAGTTAGGAACACCTTCTAGAGAATTCATGCAGAGGCTGCAGCCTACAGTGCGTAACTATGTGGAGAATCGTCCGCGCTATGCAGGATATAGCTTTGAGAGACTATTCCCTGACGTTATATTTCCACAGGACAGTCAGGAACACGCTGGACTGAGGGCCAGTATGGCTCGTGATTTGTTGTCCAAAATGTTAGTGATAGACCCCGAAAAAAGAATAACCACAACTGAGGCGTTACAGCATCCATACATTAATGTCTGGTATGACGAACAGGAAGTGAATGGGGTAAGCTTCACAGTGGGATGAATTGGAGTGTTCTCATATGTTTGATGAATGATTCATAAATTTGTATATTTATGGTGATATTAAAAGAAAGTTGACAGAATTTAAACTCAACGTACATGTAATTCTTTCATTTTCTAAGTGCTGTATTTACTGGTTTTCAGCCAGCACCTGCGCCTTATGACCACACTGTAGATGAGCAGGAACACACAGTGGAACAATGGAAAGGTGGGTTTATTTTTACAGCAGTGTTGGATTTGTTTTGATTTGATTCCTGCTGTGAAGTCTCGGTTTTATAAAAGATAAGAATGTCCCTCTCTTATGTACATTTATTAGAAAAATAAAATCTTCATTGCACAGTGTGTAAAAAAAGTCTTATATGATTTCATGATAAGATTTTAGAATTTATGTGGTAGTTGAAACTGCCCACTTTTTTTTTACTCAAAGACATTCTGTTATGTAGCAGATGCAGCTTTTTTCACAGAAGAATAAAAGAGTATACCCCTTACATATTTTAATTAAGTGGTGTATGTTATTCATTGTAGAATTAATCTATAATGAAGTTATGTCATATGAAAACCAAGGTCAAAACCCTGGAAAACAGCCAGCACAACCTATGCAAAATCACTCAGGTGAGTTTGTCCCAATCAAAGCTTAAAGTTCTAAATCTGTCTCTTATTTGTTAAAACATGAACATTTACTTGAAAAATTAATCAAAAATATTGGACTGGTAAGTGCTATAATAAATGAACAGATTCCAGGAAGTCTTGTTTTACATATTTATATACTAGTACACAACTCTGTTGAATGAGAACTGCTTTTCTTCAGAGATGAGTATGGATCTACAAAAAGCAGGTATTGCCTGTAAGCCCACAGAATGCCTTCCTTCAAATTTGGTGCCTGAAGCAAAACATTGAAAAAGTCAGCCAGCTTCTCTCCCATTGCTTGTTTTAAAGAAATATTTGATAAATTGTTACATAAGTTGTTTCTTTTCAATCTTCCATTCAGAAATATTGGTGCTGGCTCGTGTTTTGTTGGAAATGCTTTGGTTGTTTAATCTGCATCAGATCAAGGCTTCCATTTAGTACAGTAGTAGTTTCTCTCCCTAATGGTTAAAATTCTAATCTGTATGTTGTTCTTTTAGTTGAAACATTAAATGTAATACATGTACAGTGTATAATTTTGATGTTTAGCTAAATGTCTTGTAAAAACAAAGATGAAGTTTTAATACTAATAAATAATCATTTATTCTAAGTAATAGCCCAATGTATAACTGGTACATGTAGTGGCATTTCATGTTAGGTAGTTAATTACAAAGGAGACCCACAATTTCAGTGCATTAGCTATGAAGACCTTGTCTTGTCTGTCTCCTTAACAAGTTTTGTGAATTTACACTATTCAAGGAAATATGAAGCTTCCTGGTGTCAATCCATTGTCCACAAAAAATAAAGACACTCTCTAGAAGTTACAATTATCTCCCCGGTGAAAGGACTTCCTAAAGATTCTCTACTTCTAGAAGCAAATGTAAAGCCAGATTTGCTTTATGGCTGTGCTTCAAATATTCTTAAGACACAAGCCTATCTGCTATTTGGTATGGGCTTGAAAAAAAAAAAGAAGAAAAAGATATGCTTATTCATTCCCTTTTCAGCACAGATTTGCTTTGACTTGGGGCAAACTTGGGCATGATTTGATCAACATCCAAATGCATGATTTGTCACCATTTTAACTTTATTATTATTAGTGCTAAGAAAACAGAGATCTATTTTAAACCATGGTACTTATAACAAATGAAAAGTCTTTTTTTCAATTATATTTTATGAATGATTCCTATTTATGTATTTCAGCCTGAGACATTACCGTGAGTCATTCAGTAATGTAATATTTGTACTTCAGTGGGAGCTGTGAACAACGAGAGTGATGTGCCCATGGCTGACGGAACTAGTCAGAAATAATGTGTATAGTGCTTGTAATTTATTGGAGCTGGCAGAGTGATGTCCTTCAGCATTGAGAGCTCTGCATTTTAACTGTGATTAGGATATTAATTTAACCCTCTAGATGCAAAATGCTTCATGTTGATTATTTTAACTGGCCATGTGATTTTTTTTTTATTTTGTCAAATTTTGTCCTGTGTGCATGTTTTGTTTTTTGTCTTGGAATTTTTCAAGTCATTTTGTTTTGCTTATAAAAAAATATTCAGAAACTTGAATACTGTAAATCACTTTTTATTCGCGAGAACTTTATTTTCACGTATTCAGAAACTTGTATAATAGTATTCTTAAGATTATATAGAGCTATAACCACAATTCGTGAAAATTTTGTCTCGCTTATGCACATTCGAAAATAAGGTGTGGTAAGTGATCTACAGTATCTGAAATTTCTTCATTGCACATTCAGATGGTATTCTGTATATGAATAAATGTGTACAGAAATGTAAGAAAAAAAGAGAAGGTTCTTAACATATTTAAATATCCTAGAATGATTTGGAATCTCAAATGTATCTGATACCTGTAAGAAATACCATAGATAAGTGGTAAATTTCAATGTATGATGAAGGGTTTGCAAATTTTCATGCATGTCCCATATATTTGTTTTGTGATAAATTTTATTTTAAAAATGAATTATCTTTCTACAAAGTGTGTGAAAATTGGGATTAGTTTCCTTTATTGCTACAGTGTGCTGTTGTGTGTTTGGTATTACATGAGAGAGGAGTTACCTGTCCCTTAAATGATTTGTCTGTATGTAACGAAGTATGACAGAGGTTGTCAATAATTTGTGTGCAATACTAAAATATACATGTATGTTATGTTCACAGTGATTTTACGTAGGATGTCTGACATTATAATAACCATAAGTTATTTGTAAGTAGATGAATTGTATATATACAATGTATGTATGAAGTGGTGACCTCTGAGAAAGGTCACACTATGTCAAGGTCAATTTCAGGAATCTCTTTGAAGTTGACACACATTCCATGTCAATATTTAGTGTGCTCTACTTTGGAAATCCTTTTTCCCCATATATTTTGTCACTTGTGAAATTTACACTCTGTGAGAACAGCTGATGAGAATGTTTCAAGACCCCTAGGTGAAACTGTTGATGTTTATATATTGCATAACTATGTCTTAATCGTAGAATAACTCTGATATGTGTTTATAGATATTTTTTGGTCTTCCAATCTTTTAATTAGAACTTAAACCACTCGTATTATTGTCATTTTAATTAAGTGAAGATTGGGAGTTTGTAAATTGAATCTATCATTTATGATATATTTAGCACTCTGGCATCACTGATGTGGTCTTTATAAGGAAATATCAAGTAAGGTTTATATCAATATGATAGTTTTAACAAAAAAATATAAACAAGAAAACAGTCATACATAAACTGTATAACTGAAAGATGTATAGTAGAAGAGAAGTGGGGTCTGATTAACTCTTGTGATTGATTAATCATGCATTTAATTTAATGAAATTACAAAATTAATTTTTTCTGGAATATACAGTATTGAAAACAAACGGAAATCTTGTTTATCTTTTGCTTCATCAGTGATTATGTTTTTGATTTGCTGCTAAATTATGGAGCTCCTTTTGCAGTAGCTCTGATTCTGACCTCAGTCTTGTTTTCTGCTTATGATGAGGCTGCAATTTGTTTCCTGCATAGTATTACTGATATCTTTATCATGTCCATTATGTATCTCCAATGCTGGCATGGAAAAATAATAAAAAGGGATGTAATTTTCATGTAGTTTTGTCTCTCAGTGGTGACTGATTAATGTTTAAGTAATTTATAGGACTAGATCTTTCTTCTCTCTTCCAACTTCAGTTACTTTATATGTACTAAATTAAATTGAAATATAGTGCAGTCTCTGGGTATTGAGTGGTTGGCATGATCACTAGCCCTACACATTTCTATGCAATATATTATATTCTGTTGCAATTTATAAATGTTATTCATTTCATGATTTAGTCCATTGTTGCCCGCACCAAGGCTACTAAAATAAATACAAAGCCTGCTTTTTTTAGCTCACCTGAGCCAAAGGCTGAAGTGAGATTTTCTGATCGCAACTTGTTAAAGTACACATACAGAATACCTTTTGCAACAATCATTATACCCTGAAAACGAAAGTTAGGGGGAGAATATTGGAATCAGAGCTTGTCCATCTGTAGACGAGATTTTGAATGGACTATTTCTCAGAAACTGTTGCAAGGAATTGTCTGAAAATTTGTACACTTATTATTCACCATATGAAGGTGTGTACCTGGTATTTTCATCATGATTGGATGATTTTTCTGCATTTTACAGGTGTTTATTCATAGCTTATGCTATAACCCCGGTGTCAGTGTTAGCGTCGGCATCCCAGTTAAAGTTTTAGGAGCAGGTCCCTTCCCAAGTAACTATAAGCCCTATCCAGACCAAACTTGCATGGATGATGTATCTAGGGATGGACACTACCAGAATTGCTTCAGATGCTGGATCTGACCTACATTTTCCAGATGAGTGACCAGGTTAAAGTTTTTGGAGCAGGTCCATTCCCAAGTAACTATAAGCCCTATCCAGACCAAACTTGCATGGAATTGCTTGATGCTGATCTGACCTACATTTTCCAGATGAGTGACCAGGTTAAAGTTTTTGGAGCAGGTCCATTCCCAAGTAACTATCTATCCAGACCAAACTTGCATGGATGATGCATAGGGATGCTTCGGATGCTGGATCTGACTACATTTTCCAGATTAGTGACAAGGTTATTCCCAAGTAATTATAAGCCCTACCGGGATCAAACTTGCATGGATGATGCATCTAAGGATGAACAATTGAAACTTGCTGGACCTGATTAACATATTCCAAACGAATAAGCAGGTTAAAATTTTTGGAACAGATCAATCTCCGTGAACTTTCAGATCTATTTAAACAGAACTTGCTTGAATATTGTTGTCAGAATAAATACTAACTCTTAAGAAATTTTGAAAATATGATGTGAGATTTGCATAACTTAAACTGATAACATTCATCGAGCTGAGCTTCATAATCTTCGATTACCTATGTTTAGCTCATCTGAGCCTTAGAAGCGAGCTTATCTGATCACATTTTGTCTGTCTGTCTATCTGTAAACTTTTCACATTTTCGACTTCTTCTCAAGAACTACTGGGCCAATTTTAACCAAACTTGGTACAAAGCATCCCTGGGTGAAGGGGAATTAAATTATTAGAATAAAGGGCCAAGTCCCTTTCCAAGGGGAGATAATCAAGAAAAGAGGGTGGGGTCATTAAAAAATCTTCTTCTGAAGGCCAGAAAAACTAAAACTTATGTGGAAGCATCCTTGTAGTGTAGATTCTATAAAATGTAGATTGTAACATCTGGAGGAGACCTCCAGTAAAGTCAAGTTAAGTATATCACATCATGTTACATGATTATTTCATCCTATTGGTTTAATTTGACTTAGTAATTCAACAGGTTGCTGCCTTTTCTCCATTTTTTCCTCAAGAAAAGCCTGGGTATCCTCTTGCACCGACTTCTCTTCATATTACACTCATTTTTTAAAAAATATCCCACATCTTTCCATATGATGCTATAATTTCAGTAACAATGTCAAGCACAAAACATCTACGGTCAACGTCCATTAACGCTTAATTTATCTACAAGGAAATACAGACCCTCCGAAAGGCGGCCACACCTTTAATCAACCTTCATGGAAGTTCTCACGCCACTGGAAAACTAGTTGCTGTATTTTTCTCAAGCCTGTATCACTCAGTAGAAACGCTTTATAACTTTATTGAAATTTGACATTGTCTAACAATTGAATCATCAACTAATAAAACTAGAGGTACTGTGAGCAATGAGCTCACTAAATGATACCCCCCGCCTCCCATATGAATATAATGGCAGTGTCCATGTTTTGCTCTGGAAAACCCAAAATATATGTCAGATCAAAAAGTAAAATAGGAGGTGCACAATGGCAATATGTAATGAAAATTCTGTGAAAGTTTCATTAAATTTCCTTCCGTGGTACGAGAGGAGTTGCGGATAAGAGATGGGTACCCCAAAGCGTAACAGACGGACGGCAGCCCAGCTTATCACAGAGGCAGAAAAGTGGGAGGGTATATAATAATCGGGATTTCCATCCGTCCGTCCGTTACGCTTTATCTCTTATCCGCAACTCCTCTTATACTACTGAGTGAAATTTAATGAAACTTTCACAGAATCTTTATTACATATTGCCAACGTGCACCTCCTATTTTACTTTTTTATTCGACACGTATTTTAGGTTTCCCATAGCAAAACATGGACATTGCCATTATATGATTACCTATGACATCACATATAGAAGCTTCTGGATAACATTTGATAAGACGAGCTATTCCTTTTTACACATTACCGTAAACAATATATAGCAACACATGGACATTATGGGAGGGGGGGGTATCATTTAGTGAGCTCATTGCTCACAGTTCCTCTCGTTTCTATGTAAAATTTTGATCGTCCATTGTGGCCCCACCCTACACCGTGGGGCCATGATTTGAACAAACTTGAATCTACATGACCTAAGGATGTTTCCATATAAATATGACCAATTATGGCTTTGCTGATCCTGAGAAGAAGATTTTTACAGAATTTTCCTATACATTTCTATGTAAAACTTGGACCGGCCATTGTAACCCTGCCCTACCTTTGGGGGGTCATGATTTGAACAAACTTGAAACTATACTACCTGAGGATATTTCCCCATAAGTTTCATCTTTCCTGGCAAAATGGTTCTTGAGAAGATCTTTTTAAACATGCCACCAAATTTTCACTATTTCTGAATTATCTACCCTTTGATGAGGGTGTGGCCCTTAATTTGAACAAACTTGTATTCCCTTTACCCAAGGATGCTTTATACCAAGTTTAGTTGAAATTAGCCCAGAGGTCAGATGACGGCCAAAATGTGATCAGAAAAACTCACTTGAGCTTTCAGCTGAGGTGAGCTAAAAAGGGGTTATATTTTTTGATAAGAAAAACATATAAGCTCAAGTGTCTTCAGTAAACATATAAAAGAAGTTATCTAAATGATACCAAACTGCTTGACAATCATCACAAGATGCCATAGTGGAACAGATGTATCTGGAGAGCAAGAAATGAAAGACAAGTGGTATGAGCCAAAAATTACAGTCAAATCTTGCTACCTGGAACAGGACAACGAAAATCTTGAAATATTGCAGGATCGGAGACATTGAGTTAAAATATGAGAAAGAAAAAGAGGCTCATGAGGTCACAATCCTCACCTGAGTAATTATTCTGACTACTAAGTATGCTGTGGCTGCACCCTATCCCCAGGGGTTATGATTTTAGAATCTATATACAGTTAATTCTCGATAAACCGCCACCTTTTGTAATTTAGAAATCATGGCGGTATAATGAATTTGGCGATGAATTGAATTTCCCATCTTTTAGAAAACAAGAAGTAGAGTTACTGTTCTTAGAAATACCATTTAGCGTTTCTATTCTTAATATAACATAATTATACATGCATATAAAAACATATTTTCTGATTGAAAATACTTCAAGTAATTTTTTTTAATGTACAATGTCGCTAAAACAAAACGTGCAGTTATGAAAGAAAGACAAGTAAATGTGTATGCATGTAAATTTGCATGTCTGATATTGAAAAAAAAACATGCTGGATGGACCGTCGCGATATATTGCCGATAGTACGTAAAATGCATTCTTGAATAAATTCATTGTTTATGGCATCATTGATAATGAAACGTTCACAATTTATACCGTTTTATTATTTTTTTCAGCAAACCTTACATTGTTAAAAGTAGAGATCATCAAAATAATATCATTATCGGCGCAGTAAGTTTAACAATGACCGCTTTCGTGGCGAAGTCGTGAATAAATATTTTTATTAAACAGAAAACAAAATTATTATAACAGTTCATGTTAAAATTATTGTTTATTTAATGCTCGTTTAATTACTTAACCTTGTCTGCCTTTGCATGCTTTACAACAGGGATAGCGTCAACCAATTAGCCGCGCTTCACTGACCACATGCACCTGTGGCGGTATATCGAGATAATTGACAATTAAAAATGGACGTTTGTTGTGAAAACATGGCGGTATGCGAATTTGGCGTTATAAAGAGAATTTTATATAGCAGGAAAAACTTTCTTGGGAAATCATGGCGGTATTGCGAAAATGGCGATGAATCGAATGGCGATAATTCGAGAATTGACTGTACACTGGAATGCTTCATTATAAGTTTCAGTTTTTCTGGCCCAGTGATTCTTGAAAGGATTTTTCAAGTATGTATTAATGTAAAACTTTGATTCCCTATTGTGGCCCCACCCTAGTTTAGTGGCCATGCTTACTTTGAACAATTTAGAATTTACACTACAGGATGCTTCCACGTAATTTTCAGCTTTTACCTAATTTTTGTTTCATTTCTGTAAAATACATAACCAAGACGTACATGTTTCAATTTATTTTATGCGTTGACCTACACTAGAAATTGAAAAATATTGTTTTAAAAATAAATTTGACTGTATGTCAGTATATCTTCTTAACATTTAAAAAAAAAACCTACAAATTAAAACAAAATACAGTATTTCTTGATCAGTGTAAACACAAAAAGATGCCTTTGATAGTTTGATTAAAATCGCAACAATAAAGCTTATATTGTAGAATTCCTGCAGATCACCGTTTCATGATACTTTTACCATTTCATGGTAAATAGACCCCAGAATGACTCTATGAAATGACATTAGATTATTACTCCAGAATTAATATCACTTATTATTGGAGAAAACAGATTTTGAAGTTTGCAGTATAATTCCCATAACTAGTTCATAAAATTTACGATTAGGCTTCATCAAATCTAGACAGATTTCATAGTGATCACAGCCCGGGAGGATATGAAGAGCCACGTCCACATATAAATACCGCAATACGTCCGCGAACTTGTTAGTGGAAGAAATGGGCACAACATAGTCATTTGTTCCATGAAGTAACACAATCTTTGGTAACCTATAGAGTAATAGAAATGGATCACATTATTAATCACATCTACATGCACTTGGTGAATAAAATGTACCGGTAAAATAATGTTTACATGTATAATGAAAGGACTTCCTGGCAATATAAGGTATCTCTTAAATATTTTGTTCAAATACATTTTTACAAGTACTATTATTTTACTGTATTTAAAAACAACAAAACTTCATGAAACAGGTACATACCTGACTCCTCTTGAAAGTAAGTGGCATAACTTAGTGGGTGAAAACCTGTCAAAATGTGTATTTCCATACATAACCCTAGCCATACAGGACACATCCTCGATTCCACGAGAAGTTTCATGTTCATAGTGATCTGCTATATCATACACCCCAGCTAAACCTTCAGAAAAGTACAGAGTTTGGTTAGAATACTTTAAGAACATTCATATAAATTCTCAAAAATACATTTAATTTACAAGTATATGCAATGTGAAATTTATCAGACAAATGGAATCTAACATTTAATTATTAATTAACAAGTAAAAATATCTTGCAGAATACGATCCCCCATAAAATAAGAATTCTAGACAGAGAGAAACATTCTGGAGATACTTAAATTTACCTATGATAGCTTTAATTGACTTTCCGATTTCTACCAGTGATCTTTGTCGATCGCTGGACCTCACAGTTATAACAGAGTCCTTATCACTCCCATTATCCTCCTCCTCTGAGTCCTCAAGTCTCCTCTTCTCCTCAGTCTCCTCCTTAGACTCCTCACCCTCAGGTCCTTCCACTCCTTGTTTCTCACTTTCACTCAGATCCACACCTGGTTTTTCACTCTCTGTCTCTACCTCAGGTTTAACATAACCTGCAGCTACAGATTCCTCCATGGCACCTGTTTCAGGTTTACTTAACATTTCAAAAGTACTACTTGTGTTACTGGCCTCTAAACCATCCTTCTTGTCCCCGTTTTCGTTTAGGACACAGAATGAGCCTGAGGACCCAGAGCTTCCATCCAGACCGTTCTGGCCGTTTGTGTCCTCTTTTCTATAGTGCGACTCCTCAAAATGAATTTGGGGGACCACCGGTTCGTGAGAAGGCATGCTCTCTGCATTCAGAATTTCATCATGCAGGAGTTCTAAGATGGTCATTATACACAGGTGGGCACCGGAGGAGTGACCAATCATCATCACCTGGTTCTGTAGTTAAATGACATTTTAATTTAGTATTTTTTAAAATCAAAATCCAATAAATAAACAGTGGGGAATAAAATGAATTGTTTACTTTGTTGCCTCCATAGTCCCCAACATTTTCACTGATCCAGCATAAACAGTCTACCACATCCTGAATCATGTCATCCACATAACCCTAAAACAAAGTTAAATTTTAGGAGGTTGTTCATAAATTTCCAAAACAGAAAGTACATTTTAATTTAAATTGGTGTCAAAAATCATGGAAGTAAAGTTTAATTTTGTTATCTTGAACACAGATACCTAGAATACCAGAGATGTTAAAGTGATGTGGTCATTCACACCACTTATTCTTTATGCTAAAACTTGTAATCTTGAATCTCTGGATATCTTGAAGTAATATCTCAGTCTCATTGAGTTCCATATAAAAAGGTTCAACTGTATTTATATCATCCTAAACAGTACAATATTTCTAACCTTAGGATAGGCAGAATGGTTTGGACAGCAGACCACGGCTTGAAGTTTATTAGCCAGCTCCGTACACAGAAGTCCATACATTTCTTTATTCTTCAAGGACCAAGCTCCACCATATATTAACACTACAACAGGCAGATTTGTCTGCCCTTTATTTGATGAGGGAAAGTACAAATCCAGAGTCTCTTCATTCCTCCCATATGATAGATTCTAAAAATAAAAGTTCTCCCATATGATAGATTCTAAAAATAACAGTTCTTCCATATGATAGATTCTGAAAATAACAGTTTTCTCCCATATGATAGATTCTAAAAAATAACAGTTCTCCCATATGATAGATTCTAAAAGTAACAGTTTTCTCCCATACAATAGATTCTAAAAATAACAATTTTCTACCATGACCATGTGATAGATTCTAAAAATAACAGTTTTCTCCCATATGCTAGATTCTAAAATTAACAGTTTTCTCCCATATGATAGATTCTAAAAATAACAGTTTTGTTTTCCTACAGAATCCAGCTACTGTTATGTAGCAGATACATATTTTATTAATTTTTCTTTACATGTACATGTATTACAACTGTCATTTATTATATCTAATTTGATTTGAAATGCACATATTAAGTAAAATAATTATTCAGTCTAAAGCCTTTGTGTGCATTCACCAATGGTCTGTTAACAGGTGTATACAGATAGAAATGGCCTTAGGTCATTAATTATATCCAGGCCTAATGTTGAATGTTTCTTTTAATTTCATTGGTGTTTTACTTTGTGTTTTACTTGGGGATTGGTTCATGTTTTTTCCCTCCAGAAGGTTCTTGGTTTTCTGGACATTGGTCAGTTAAGATGTATTTCTTGTGATCAAACATATTGACTCAAATGATATTTGCTTTAATTGAGACTGATTTTCTTCTCCTTCTGGTAAGTTAATAATTTTTTACTTATATTAATATGATTCTCATATTTCAATTAAATGTCCAATCAGTAATTCTACGCCTTTGATCTCTTTTCCTAAGCACTTTCCCTGAGCAAATGAGATCAGTGAGAATGGTATTTTTAAAGTATGATGTAATAGAAAGATCTCATTATAATAAATTTTTAAGGTAACATTTTTATGATTTGGTGTATAATATTGTGAAATAGATTTACAGACCACTCAGACCGTACATTGTATATATATGTAAGACTCCAAAGTGTGATGGTGACGCCAAACCCCGATGGCTCGCTTCTTACAGATGACAAAGTCCGAAGTCATGCCAAAGTCCGATGGATCGTTTCCTATGAGACGCGTTGCGCTCAAGTGCAATGGTCTGATATGCCAAGGTCCAATGGTGCGGAGGAACAATCAATGTTTATGACAACACAATAATCCGACGTCATGCCATTGTCCCGCATTCAAAATTCATTGAATCAATATTTGTCTCTTGTACATACAATTTTACTGATCTTGCTTATTGTTTTCACCCACCAGAGGCATTAATTATGGTTAGTCCTCGCACACCACTCAAATGATAAGGTTTAGTCCTTGAACACTATTGGATTGATAAATGTGTTTATTCGAACCCACAAGAGAGATTTAAGGGTTAGCCTAGTCCTCAACTGATTTTTGACTGATTACACAAGTAATTTAAGGCTAGGTACAGGCTTTTTATGCAAATGAGCTAATGAAAATGCATTATTTGTGTAATTTTTACATATAGAGAATGGTTCAAACTTATTTTCTTATACATACTTAGTACGGTAAAACTTGTTTAGTACGAACACGGATGTAGCGAATTCATGGATATAGCGAAATTTTTCCTGGGTCCCCAGCAAAATTCTTAACAAATCTGTAAAGTTTTACAGACAGTTGTAACAAACTCTGATATATAACGAATCTACAGATATAACGTACTGATGTTAAGTCCCGTTGAGGTAAAACATAATGAAATTTACATCTTTTATAACGAACTTTCAAAGATCTCAAAATTTTATAAAATTGAACATTTGTAAATAAAACTTTAAAATTTTCAAAGGTAGGTTTTGTAATATTTGCATTTGTAAATAAAATTCAATTCATAGCTATAATTAAAATCTTAGGATATATCAAAGGATAGGCGAATTAAAATTTTGTACACACATATTTGCTTCTCAAAATAACATATTTGGTAACAACTTTCAAACATTTGGTTTGTGTAGCCATAAAATACAATTTTGCACTGTTGCTTATTATAATTATACTTAACATGCTTACTCATATTCAATAACAAAGAGAAAAGGCATTTCCACTTTGTAACCAGTTGTTCGAACCACATATTTCAAAATTTTGGAAATTTTATAAATTTTATTTCATCATAAATTATTTATTAATACCAAAGAGCAGATTTAAAGCATTAATTTATTTTCAGACTAAGTAACACCCCCCCCCCCACCCCCCGTTATAAATTAACCATTTTGCTAGATGCACCTTTCTTCATCATATAATGCATTTTCACTATATAATCATTAGAGCCCTGCCCTAACAACAGAACACGAAGATGTATCCTTCCTAATCATAACTATGTTCATAGTTCATTGGTTTAATACCCAGGAGCAGTGAAGAATATTTTTAAAGAATCAATGTATTTTTACTATATAATCAATAGAGCCCCGCCCTAAAACCAGAAAACCCAACCTAGGGGTCATAATATTCACAATTTTGGTAGAAGCACTCTTGCTCATCATAACAATACTTTGCTATAACCACCAGAAGACCCAGGGGCCATGACATTCACAATTATTGAAGAGACACTCTTGGTCATCATAACTATGTTCTTAGTTAGTTTATTTAATACCCAGGAGCAGAGAAGAAGACTTTCAAAGAAATAATGCAATTTTACTATATACGCCTAACAACAGTATTATAAAGCAACTGCACATTATGACATCATATTAAGACGTCATTCATCTTTACCATTCAAGGTGATAAACACATCATCAAAATACCGCCGGCGCAAGGGCATATCCTATATAATTGTTAATAAATAAAGTAAAATATTAAGAGGAATGTTATAAAAATTAATAAAATTGCTGCACAAATCCTGGGCGCTTACTCATTTGATGAAAATTTTAGGAAACTTACACCGGACAGTGAATTTTTACTCTGTTACAACATAAAACTTTTAAAATAGTAACTAAACAATTGCACTGTCGGCATTTGTGCAGCAATATCATAAATCCTCGTAATATTCTGCGTATAATAATACCTTGTTTCTGAAGAACAAAGTTGAGAATGCCCTTGTGCCGAAGCTACTTTTTTGATGTTCCTTATAAAGTTGTGTAGTACATGTATATGAGTATGATGTCATAATATGACGTCATAAAGTGTACTGGCTAGGGCATGTCATGGGTACCAAGTTTGTATAAGAAAACAAGTTTAAACTTCTGTGCAATAAGTTCAGCACTTATGCGTTTTAATTAGTGAATTGCAAAGAAACCTCTATACGTTGCCTTAACTTACTTGCGTAGGGTTTGTCTTGCACCTGTATCCCACAAAAAATGAGTGTTAATTTTTGCATTAAATACCATATAACGATATTTTTTATGTGATGATATAACATAATTTTTAGTTTAGTTTATAAACCGCGGTTTATAAATCCATAAAGGACAGTTTTGTTATATCGGATAACATAAGTTGAAATAAGCCTCATTCCTTATAATTTAATTTCAATGTACAGACAATGAGACAATATTTCCATTTTTTCCCTCGGAAAAAAGCTTCAAATATAGCATATTTTAAAAGTTAACTTCAAGCGGATTAATACGTTTTTGACGTAACTCATTGTGACAAGGCAAGTTATGTTATACAAAATGGATAAAACCATTTAACCAATCAAATGACGTGTTACAACTAAAATTAAATTATTACCGTATAACAATATTTTTTATGTGCTGCTTATTTTTACTAAGTTTTACGAGCTTTATAAATCCGTAAAATTTAAATGCGTAAAATTTCACAGAAGTAAAAAACGCCTCGCCTAAACTTTCAACATTGTATTATGAAAGTATTTCAATGTTAAGACCGCGGAACATTAACTGGCAAAATTGGAAATATACAGCTTACGTTATTTCTATCTGTTACAATCAAAACATTCAGTGATAGACAATGAAATGGGTGGTTACAATTTGATGCGGACGTGGAAAACATCGGATTGAAATTGCAGATCGAAATTCATTTTCAATCCACCTGAGCTGTTTTCAAAGCAAAGAGTGAATGTATGATCCAAAAATCAACTAATTTCAACTCCCAAATACATATTGTTTGAAACTCACATTAATATGAGTTTTAGCATATAATTTTAAAAATGCAAAAGATCATAGAAGACAAAGATTATTTTTCAGGAAATATTTGATTCTAGAAGGGGAGGGGGGTTAAAAATTGTCGAGTCAGGTCATGGCTTAACATGACAATATATTTTATTTCTAGGATTATAAGAGTGCATGAGTTTTATACTTATTCTTATTGAAAATGTTGGACAACTTTTTTTAAAAATCGTTATCACCACCAACACAAAGATATACATATATTTACCAAACAGAAATGAAATATTTGTCCCTTAAATATTAATTTATTTAAAACACTGGACAAAAAAATTCAGACTGTACCAAAATTGAAATTATTTGTCTTCTGGCTCAATCAGTAATATTGTGCCTTCTAGAATAGCTGAGGTGGATTGAAAATGAATTTCGATCTGCAATTTCAATCCGATGTTTTCCCCACATCTGTGCCGAATTGTGACGCCCATTTCATTGTCTATCACTGAATGTTTTGATTGTAACAGATAGAAATGACGTAAGATGTATATTTCCAATTTTGCCAGTTAATGTTCCGCGGTCTTATTACTGCCATTTAGCTAAGTACCTGGAGAGTACAGAGTTAGCACTGATAACCGTTGGTATATTTTGGTGACTTTTTCATTGTTCCTCAATAAGGATCAATCAAGTAAATTTTAATACACAAATACAAACATCGTCAATTACCTGTTTACTCTTACGGGATGCATAATTTCTGATAATGGCTTAATTATTGCAGACTAAAGCCTTCAAATTATATCCGTTTTTAGCTCACCTGAGCCGAAGGCTCAGGTGAGCTTTTCTGATCAAAATTTGTCCGTTGTCTGTCATTGTCGTTGTACCGTAGTCGTTGTTATGGTCGTCTTCGTAAACTTTTCACATTTTCTTCTAATTCTTCT